ATAGATATAGTGAAATGAATTGTCCAAGGAATAAATGCTATTCGGTTATCTAGTATTCAAGGTCTCCTAAGATCTGGCCTGGTTTATCTTTCTGGAGTGTTTCCTTAAATTCACCACAACAAGGAAAATTGTTCTTCTCATAGTCTTTACTAACGTAAATTGAACTGCTTGCTATCCTTCATATGTGCAGCATGCTTCCTACCTCTGTGTTCTTGTTTTTATTAATTCTTCCTTCTGGAATACTCTTGCTTTTCTCATCAGCAACACTATATTATAGTTCACAAATCTTATCCTTTCCTCAAGGAACAGCTCAAATACAGCACCTTCTCCGAAATTCCCTGACTTTACTAACTATAAATAATTTTTCCCTCCTTTAAACTCCTCTACAAAGAGATCTGTACTGCACCCATTACTTTTGCCTTATGTCTTAGTTGTCCCTATTTATGTAGATGCATAATTATGGCACACATCTTTCCCTTTTCCCTCCTCTACTGTTTCGTGAACAGTGTCCATAACAGGATTCTAAACTTTGGGAATTCACTGTAGTTTCAGTGCATCAAGGACCATTGACTCTCCATTTCCTGTGGTCCCTGAAATCATCTCACAAGCCTTTTCATATTTTTACATGTAATAATTACAAAATATTTGATCTGTATTGGGATTAACCAAGTACACTAACTAGGATGGGAGTTTCTTGAGGAGCTCCTTGAAGCACACTCATCTTAATGACCCCTGTGTCCAAGCAGTATGTGTTAAAGAAGCATCTGCCCATTACCATCAACACTTGTTACAGATTTTTATTTCTAGGCCACACTTGCAGAAATTTTGTTTCAGTGAGTTATATGCGGAGCTCAGGAACCTGCATTTTGTCAAATTCTCTAGATGATTCTTATCTGATAAATTTAAAAATGGTCACCAGTTAATAAGTATAGAATTTGTTAAATGAATGCTTACTTTTTTCTCTCTCTCTCAAGCTATACGCATCTTAAAGGAAAATGTGTTTCCACTAAGTATCTGGCCCAGCCATTTGAACATAGGAGATTCTCAAACACTGTGGAATCGGTCTATGTTAATGGGGTGACTTATAACTGGGGTAATTAGAAAAAAGCTTTCCCCAAGGCACAGAATTTTCTGGCCTTGAAAAATGAGTTGGATTTGAATAGGTAGAGAGGGGAGGGAGCATCCTGGCCAGGAGACTGACATAATCAAAGGAAAGGAGTTGAAGAAACAGAATCATGATGAGGGTTGATTATTAAATTAGTTTAACAAGAGCAAAAGGTTCTTGTGGCAGAGGAATGAGAGATGAAGCTGCCTCCCCACTGTATAAAATAAACATTTGTTAGCAGAGCTCTCATTTCATATTATTTTAACAAAAGCAAAAGTAAGTGTTTTTGATGTGATTAGTGACCGACAAGGGGTCCACGGTGCTGACTTGGCGAGCATCCACCTTCATGGCACATGTAGAAATGCAAGATTTAGTACAGAATTAACTTGCCCAAGCATCTGTTCACAACTCCATATGAAAAAGAAAAAATAGACCAAAGCATATGTTACAAGCTAAAGTCTCAACAACTTCTTTTTCATATCATATTGATAGGAATTCACATTTTAAGCAAAATCTCTTATTGACTTGGTAATGTGAATTCAAAACCACAATAATTATAAAGAAAAAGTGTTTTTTTAAAAAAAAATCATTCTGTTTACACATGAAGAAAATATTAACTTGTTACGAAAAAGACAATAAATGGGTAGTTAACATATATTCCTTCTGTCTTATGACATTGCCGGCACTAACCTATGCATTTATAATTAATTCACTTGCATATTTACTCACTCACTGATCTGATAAATAGTTATTAGCAATCTACTACTTGCAAAGCACTGTACACAAAATGTTAATGGCAAAGCACTATGTGCATGATACAAATTGAAGATTCATTCTTACATGGAAGAGAGAAGAAAGATTGATTAGAATAATTAGGATCAAGTTATAATTCATTTCTTCATTCATTCAACCACTCTTGGATGAATGAATACAGCCCATGACTTTGCTTTGTCCTCTGTTATATGCTACACACTGAGCATAGCACTTGATATATAATAAGTGCTCAATAAGTATTTGTTGGATGAATGCTTGTATTGATCACTTTTTCAGGTTCTCAATCTACAAAAATAAAGTAAAACAGAGATGTCCCTGCCCTCAGTGAGTTCATAGTCTAGTGAGGAAGACAGATATTAATCATGTGCATTATGCCAAGTGTTGAGGAGCCTCTGTCAGATTTGGCCTAACATACAAAGGCTTTCCTGAAGAAGTGATCTTGCAATGAAATCTAAAGAACAGGTGGAAATTAACCAGACTAAGAGAAGAAGGAGGAATGATTTAGGCAGAAGAGGGAGCAGGAAAGAGCATGATGAGTTCACGGTGGCTGCCAAGCAGATTGAGAGGGAGTCACAAAAATGGGAATGGAAAGGCAGGTGGCTAGGGTGAAAATGAGTAAACACAACTTTTTGGGAGTTCCAAGTTTATAAATAATAGGATAGATTATATATATAAGAAAATATGTTGTTTAAAGTTGATAAAAACTAAATCATTTTGAGGAAATTGATATTTGCAGTAGACATTTGGTTAAAATTAAAATCTTAAAACTCTTGATCAGTTGTAATATAAATGAAAAATTCATCTGATGAAACTAAGCAAATTTTTTCATTGGCAAGCAAAACAACTGAGCATGTAATTCCAAATTATGAAATCTTGGCCCTTGTACATTAAGCCAATAAATATTATAATTTTACTAAATTACACAGCAGCAATTAGCCCTCAAATGAGGGTTAATAACAAAATCAACACAGTATCATAAAAATAATTTGGGTGTACTGATATAGAACTATATTGAGAAATTAATATACCCTGACAAACAGTTCATTCAACTTTTCTGTAAGACTAATAAAAAATACATAATTTATTGATGTAGTTCACATGATAGAATTCATGCAGAGAAAAGTAAAGCCAAGACTCTTAAAGAGCAATCATGGAATGTGGAAGCAACGACATTAAAATATGACTAAAGAAATAGCTGACTTTACTCTCTCACTGGTTATTATAAAGTATTTGGTCAGGTAGACTATATTATTTTACTCAATTTATTTAGTTTGGTTTTTTTTTTTTTTTTTTTTTGCCTGTATCCTAGTATAATTTTGACCACAGTATTTAACTCTGGATTACATATCTCTGTCCATTAACCTATATCTAAGTTTTATCTGAGATAATATTATAATAATATTGAGTTTCACTATTCTCCACACCCATACTCCTATATCCCATAATACAGAGGTGGATATGGGGTTGGTGCTTGGTAAGAACTTGTTAACTTTTCAGAAGTGAACAATTAGAATACTTATGAATAAATATTACTAGTTTTAACAATAATAATGACACTTAAGTTTATTAATGTTATTATTATTTGAGTAGTTAGGTTTGGTGATAGATGTTGCAGAATGTTGTAAATTGTCTCTTATTATATTATGAAGGATATGGAAAATAAATATCCAGCAATAGTTAACACCATTTCTATTCTACCCTGATATCTAATTGAAAATAAGTATAAAACTGAAGAATAAAAATTAAAATGTATCGAAAAAATAGGATATAATATATTCAGGAGTAATAAAACTAACTGTAATATATTTAAGAATAATAAAATAAAACAAATATGAAAAATGAATAACTCAATTTTCTCTTAAAATAATCCATTGAACTCTAACAGTGTTTTAAAATTTTGCATTTTTTCAAAATGCAGTTTAAAAGCCCGTGTTGTATAACACATGAAATTTTATTGATCTACCTAACATTACTATGCAGTGAAGTCAAGTAGGAAAAATATAAGCATTCCTACTTCTGTAATGGGTAAATTAGAGCACAGCAAAATTAAAGATTTCTACTGATGACACTAATCTTTTTCCATTTAACATATATTTATTAAGCATTCACTGGGTATCCACTAGGTACAGGTTAGGTGATGACTCAGTTTAGCATATTCTGTCTACTACCAATTGAAGACAGGATAACTTTGGAACCAATGCATTAGTCATGACAAAAAAACTCATTGCCTGCCTCTAATTAGCTATTTCTACCAAACACACAACTAAATGATCTTTACCTGGAAAGACTTATGATTTTTTTAATACATATTCTAACTTTCATTGAACAAATGTAAGGTACTGACATAAAAAGCAGACTACCTACCTTATCATTTATTGACTTTCAGGCAGAAAAGATAATGCATGCACACTTGACAGCTTAACCTTTCATTTTATGAAATGTTCACTGTTTAACAGATTTGTGATATAATTTTCTTTTATTTTCTGTTCAGGTAATTGGGCATTATGTAGTTTAGTAGAGAATGAATGATTCCATATAAGATATTGATTACCAACTTTAAAAGAATTCAAAGTTTGAATAACATTGAAATCATACTGAACAGATGTAGTCTTTTCCAGTTCAGAAGGTATTTCAGTTTTGCAGTACATCTTTATGACCCTCAAAGGTTATTGCCAACATTTTTTGCAACAGGCACACAGCTAAGTACTGGAGATTCAGAGATGCAAATTCTACTTTAAAATCTCGCAATAGTTATAGAATTATCAATAAAAAGAAATTTCAGGTTATTGGTTTGCCAACAAAAAATAATGACCTTATTTGTTTTCCATTAAACTATCTAAATTGGAAAAACCATTTATCTACTCCAGAAGAAATAAAACATTTTTGGATATTTTCAAAGCTTAGCTCATAGGAATGTATAATAATAGAATGTGGTGCATTCTATTAAAAAAATACATATATGTATTTCCAACATTTCAACATTAATAAGAGATAGAGAAAATAGATATACTGTAGAAACTATATAATTTATTATAATTAAAATTTATGTTAATGAACACCTATATATCATCTAATGATTCTAAAAAAATTACATTGGCAACTCCAGATTTTCTCTATATCTTAAAAATATTTACAGCCATAAAATTTCCTTTAATCAATTGGATTTTAATGAAGCTTAGAAATTAGACATTTAAAATTGATTTTTCTTCTCTAATGTGCCATATATCCTTTATTGGCTGACTTTACTATCTAAATACTAAATCTGACTTATGTAGCTGTATTTCAGGGATCCTAGCTCCAAAATGGAAGTCATAAAGACTTCCACAAGAGCAGTTTTCAGTGCCCTATCAGAGTGGATTGAAGTGTGAATGAGAGTTAAGGAAGCAAAGGCAAAGAGTGGGAACATTATTTGTATTGTGATCCTGTGGGAAAAAAGAGCAAACAAATAGGGAAGTAGTGGCGGCCGGGCACGGTGGCTCATGCCTATAATCCCAGCACTTTGGGAAGCCGAGATGGGTGGATCACAAGGTCAAGAGATCGAGACCGTCCTGGCCAACAAGGTGAAACCCCGTCTCTACTAAAAATACCAAAATTAGCTGGGCATGCTGGTGCACACGTGTAGTCCCAGCTACTCGGGAAGCTGAGGCAGGAGAATTGCTTGAACCCAGGAGGCGGAGGTTGCGGAGAGCCGAGATCGTGCCATTGCACTCCAGTCTGGGTGACGACAGCGAAACTCCGTCTCAAAAAAAAAAAAATAGGGAAGTAGTTGGAAGGAGCTATAGCATCTATAAAAAATAGGATTCTTTTAATCATGGAAGAAACTAAAGCATGTTTGTGTGCTGCTGAAGGTGACCTGGTAGAGGCAAAGGTTGAAAGTGTGTAGGAAGTAACTCCAGTCCTAGAGTTCCTGTAAAGGTAAGAAGAGATCCAGAGATCAAATGGACAGGAAGAAACAAATTTGGGAGAGCCAGAGGTAGATAGTGAAAGAAAACTACTGAAGTGACCGCAAAACGCATAAATGTATTGCTCTAAATTCACACAAATTGTATCCCCAATTCAACTTCAAACAAGCCAGATCCTAAATATGCCACAGTGTGCCAGAGGAAGTATGATGAAGGGAGAGTGTATGCAGCAAAATACAGCAGTCTTAACCAATTGTCTTTAAAATATATTCCCTTGCAAATTCTCTAGCTATGCATATGAAGAGCCTGAAGATAAAGCTTTGTTACCTTTGGAGTAAATCTACCTATGGTTGTTTGTGTTTGTTTCAATAAATAATAGGGGAAGTGATGAGCTGTGGTAAAAAGAGGATACTTTTGACAAGATTGAAAAATTATGAAACACTCTCAGAGAGTTGGAAAGCAACTTGGGGAAAAGTAGTAAAGTTGCAAGCATTATTCAATCCTCATTTCAGGTATTTGTCTTGAATTTAAAGTTAAAGCAGTCAGCCAAATTGTGATTTTTCTCCAACATCTTTGCGCATTTGTAGAAAAGGCAGAATGTTGGATTCGACCAATATTAAGTTCAACTAGGTAAATGTAACATCAAAAAAAAACAGTTTGCTAAGTGATATTTGCAAGAAATTGTTTATAACGATGGACTGTTAATGAATCTCAGCTTAGGAAAGAGGAAAAGATAGGTAAATAGAGACAAGGTAAATTTAGCATATCAGTGATACATCAATAATAACTGTTGCAGAGGAATTCTAGGATACTGTAAGAAGTTAACTGAAACTATAAGAAATGACAATCAGCCAGTGGTATCTTTGCAATTGTGATTTCAAAGGTAATATAGATCATTGTGATGACAAAGTCTAAGTGTTATCTTTGGAACAGGTTACTGAGATGGAGAAGAAGAGATTGGTTATGAACATAGATTGTTTATTTTGTTCAATTTAGTGGAATTCTTGGAGCAGTAGCATGTACAAGTTACCTTGGAAGGAGTTGGAGACACAAAGATGGACAAGATTCCGTTCCCTGCTTCAAGGAGCTCAGTATAAATATGCAAAGTGCTACAGTAGGGATACTAACACGGAAAGAAGGATACCTAACCCAATCAGGGATCAGGTGAACGGACTTCGAAAACAACATTTGTTTATGTTGAACCACCATTGCATCCTGGGGATGAAGGCTACTTGATTGTGGTGGACAAGCTTTTTGATGCACTGCTGGATTCAGTTTTTCAGTATTTTGTTGAGGATTTTTGCATCAATGTTCAAGGATATTGGCCTGAAGTTTTTGTTGTTGTTGTGTTCTGCCAGGTTTTGGTATCAAGATAATGCTAGCCTCATAGAATGAGTTAGGAAGGAGCCCTTCTTTTTTTATTTTTTTGGGATAGTTTTAGTAGAAATGATGCCAGCTCTTCTTTGTATATCTGGGAGAATTCAGCTGTGAATCCATCTGGTCCTGGATTTTAGAGGTTGGAGGCTATTACTGCCTCAATTTCAGAATTCATTATTGGTCTGTTCAGGAATTCAATTTCTTCCTGGTTCAGTCTTGTGGGGGGTGGAGGAGGTGTATAAGTCCAGGAATTTATCTATTTCTTCTAGATTTTCTAGTTTATGTGCACAGAAGTGTTTATAATTTCTGATGGTTGTTTGTATTTCTGTGGGGACAGTGGCAATACTCCCCTTATCATTTTTTATTATGTCTATTTGATTCTTCTCTCTTTTCTTCTTTATTAGTCTAGCTAGAAGTCTATCTGTTTTATTAAGTTTTTCCAAAAAATGGCTCCTGTATTTGTCAATCTTCTAATGCTTTTTCCTTTGTATCTCTCCTTCAGTTTGGCTCTGGTTTTTGTTATTTCTTGACTTCTGTTAGTTTTGGGGCTTGTTTGCTCTTAGTTATCTAGTTCTTTCAGTTCTGATGTTAGGTTGTTAACTTGAGATCTTTCTAGCTTTTTGATGAGAGCATTCACGACTATAAATTACCCTTTTAACACTGCTTTAGCAGTGTCCCAGAGTTTCTGGTATGCAAACAATAAATGGATTCATCACATAAACAGAACTAAAGACAAAAACCGTATGATTATCTTAATGCAGAAAAAGCCTTCAGTAAAATTCAACATCTCTTTATGTTAAAAAAAAATACTCTCAATAAACTAGGTACTCAAGGACAATACCTCAAAATAATAAGAGCCATATATGACAAAACCACAGCCAATATCATACTGAATGGGCAAAAGCTGGAAGCAGTCACCTTAAAAACTGGCACAAGACAAGAACACCCTCTCTCACCACTCTTATTCAACATAATGTTCAAAGTTCTGGCCAGGGCAATCAGGCAAGAGAAAGAAATAATGGGCATTCAAATAGGAAGGGAGGAAGTCAAACTATCCCTGTTTGCAGATGACATGATCCTATATCTAGAAAACTCCATCATCTCAGCCCAAAAACTTCTTAAGTTGATAAGCAACTTCAGCAAAGTCTCAGGATATAAAATCAATGTGCAAAAATCACTAGCTTTTCTATCTACCAGCAATAGTCAAGCTGAGAATCAAATTACAAATGAGTTCCCATTCACAATTGACATAAGAAGAAAAAAACATCTAGGAATTCAGCTAACAAGGGAAGTGAATGATCTTTACAAGTTAAACTACAAACCACTGCACAGAGAAATCAGACATGACACAAACAAATGGAAAAACATTCCATGTTCATGGATAGGAAGACTCAATATCACTAAAATGGCCATGCTGCCCAAAGCCACTTATAGATTCAATACTCTTCCCATTAAATTACCATTGACATTCTTTGCAGAACTAGAAAAAAACTATTTAAATTCATGTGGAACCAAAAAAGAGCCCAAATAGCCAAGGCAACCCTAGGCAAAAAAATAAAAAAATAAAAACAAAACTGGAGGCATATCATGCTACCTGACTTTAAACTATACTACAGGCTTGCTACAGTAACCAAAACAGCATGGTACTGATACAAGAGCAGACACATAGACCAATGGAACAGAATAGAAAACCCAGAAATAAGACCACACACCTACAATTATCCAATCTTCAACAAACCTGACAAAAGCAAGCAATGAGAAAAGAATTCCATGTTGAATAAATGGTGCTGGGATAACTGGCTAGCCATATGCAGAAAGTTGAAACTGGAACCCTTCCTTATACAATATACATAAATTAACTCAAGATCAATTAAAGATGTAAATGTAAAACCCCAAACCATAAAAAGCCCTAGAAGAAAACCTAGGTAGTACTATTGAAGACATAGGCATGGGCAAAGATTTCATGATAAAGATGCCAAAAGCAATTGCAACTAAAGCAAAAATTAGCAAATAGGATCTAATTAAATGAAAGTGCTTATGCACAGCAAAAGAAACTATCAACAAACTACAAAGACAACCTACAGAATGGGAGAAAAATTTTGCAAGCTATGCATCTGACAAAAATCTAATATCCAGCATCTATAAGGAACTAAAATTTACAAGAAAAAAAAACAACCCATTAAAAAGTGGGCAAAGGACATGAACAGACACATCTCAAAAGAAGACATAGATGCACCCAAGAATTATATGAAAAATAAAAAAGCTCAACATCACTGCTCATTAAAGAAATGCAAACCAAAACCACAGTGAGATACCACATTACCCCACCAGTTAGAATGGCTATTATTTAAAAGTCAAAAAACAACAGATCCGGTGAGGTTATGGAGAAAAATGATCACTTATACACTGTTGATGGAAGTATAAATCAGTTCAACCATTGTGGAAGGTAGTGTGACAATTCCTCAAAGACCTAAAGATAGAACTACCATTTGAACCAGCAATCCCATTACTAGGTATATACCCAAAGGAATATAAATTGTTCTATTATAAAGATGTATACACATGTATGTTCATTGCAGCACTGTTCACAATAGCAAAGACAGGTTATCAACCTATATGCCCATCAATGAGAGATTGGATAAAGAAAATGTAGTGCATATATATCAAGGAATATTATGCAGCCATAAAAAAGAATGAGATCGTGTCTTTGCAGGAACATGGATGGAGCTGAATGCCATTATCTTTTTCAAACTAACACAGAAAGAGGAAACTAAATACCATATATTCTCACTTTTAAGTGGGAGCTAAATAATGAGAACACATGGACACATAGAGGAAAACAACACACGATGGGGCCTACTGGAGGACGGAGGATGGGAGGAGGGAAAATAACCAATGGATACTAAGCTTAATACCAGGTGATGAAATGATCTGTACAACAAATGCCCATTACACATATTTACCTATATAACAATCTTTGCACATCCTGCACACGTAACCCTGAACTTAAAAGTTAAAAAAAAGAAAGAAAGAAAGAAAGAAAGAAAGAAAGAAAGAAAGAAAGAAAGAAAGAAAGAAAGAAAGAAAACATTGACAAAGACCAAATTGCAAGACCAAGGGTGATGCCTTTATGAACTGCAGACAGTTGGGTTTTCCTCAAGGCTAGAGGGTATAGTGAAAGAAGAGTCTAAGGAGGAAGCAAGGGTCAAATAAGAGAAGTTTTGTATGATATGGCAAAGGCCTAATGGGGGCTTTGTATTCTTTGGAATACAAAGACTGTTTCAAGCAGGAATAATTTTACTGAAATGGCTGACAGCCTGCAGTGTAGATAGAAGATGGAGGAAGGTAGTAGCCACAGTTTTTTGGAGAAAGAAAATAAGACCAGTTTAAATTATAAGATTAGAGTGCATGTGTTACAAGGTCTTTACTCTTAAATTTAGATTCAGGCAAGGTCATCAAAGTTTGCAGAATAGGTGGAGGGTAATGCATTAAAGTGCAGATCATGAAACCTGAATTGCTTCCTTTGTCCACTTGTTAGCATTTTGTAGAACCCAGCCCACCAGGAAACATAAAATACCAGAATGTAATATCCATGACGGTTTGTCTATTTTGTTCGCTGTTTCTCCACTACCCAGTACGTGCTGGGCCCTTAATAAACATTAACTGAATAAAATCACTGAAGGAATTAAAGTCTGTCTTTAGCATCTGATCTCCTCCTATGCTGCCTTCATTCTAAGGCCTCTTGCCTAAGTAACCTCATGCTAGGTGTGAACCACTTATAATTTTTCCCCCAAATTCTCCTTTACTTGTGAACCTTTTCATATTTTACAAAACGAAGATCAGGCTCTTGCCCTCCCCATGTGTTAGCTCTATGACTTTGGGCACATTCATTTGTTTTTTTATGCCTAAGTCTCTGTAAAATAGAGATAGTAGCTAATGCCCATTGAGCATTGGGCACTGACACTTAGAACCAGTCACTGTTCTAAGAACTTTAAATGCCTTAACACAGTTAATCCTGAGTACCCTCCTATGTGGGCTATACTACTGTCATTCACCTATTACAGATGAGGAACCTTAGCCAAGATAAGTCACAAAGCAAGTAAGTGACAAAGTCTAGATCTGAACTCAGTCCAGCTCCTGAGACCATGCTCTTAATCATTATGCATACTTGCTGTCCTGTGACACTACCACTGTCATTGGACAGTTGTGAAGATTACATGAGAATAATCTACATAAAAACACCTAGAAAAGTGCCCTACTATATTAAGTACCCAATAGAAGTTAGATTATTTTGTTGTTATTGTTTTACTCTGTTTATAGCTTTTAGAATCTTATATGTTCATTGATAGATGAGTCACTATTTCTCGAAGTAAATTAGATTATTTCATTTTAGGCAGATCTAATTAGAAGAAAGAAAGTCATTGTTCGTTTGATACTCACTTACACTTAACTTCCTGCAACTTTCCTCATTGTTTCTAGTTCTGAACTGGGGATAAAGAGAGGCAAGCCTAGCTCCACTTTCTTACCCCAACCCTCACATATTCAAAGAAGAGTGTTTTTGACACCTACATAGTCCATTCTTCAGTCTAAGCAGTTGAATCACTTGCTGTTTCTCTTATGGCATGGTTTCCAGATACTCTGATTTGATGCAGACACCTTTATACCTGGGCATCCAGATGAGAACAAAATGTTATAACTCATATGTGGAATACTAGCTGCATATAGAACAAGACATTGAGAGAAAAGACTTGAAGATAGTCCTGTCAGTCTGAATTATATTCTCAGACACAGTTATGAGGCCTTCCTTGTATGGAGTAGGTAGTAATTCTTGACTGAATGACTTCAGTTATAAACAAATGTGTTAATGAATCCTCAGCTTACTCTTGACTTAAATCCCCAATCTTGTTCACATGTACTTTTGCTTCTGCTGACTTCTGAGATTGGTTTAGGAAACATATGGCAGGACATTGTATTAGTCCCTATTAAACTTCATTTTGTTTGACCTATCCAGTCTTCCAACATTTCAGATCATCTTGGATACTAATTTTGTCATTTCATGTATTGTCATTCTCTCCAAACATCGTGTCATCTGTAGATTTCTCCTCTGGGCCATTAATACAATCCTCTGAGTATTTAAATGGAATATATTATGCTCATATTCTATTAAAATATTCATAAGGGCTTATTGCTTAAAGTGTTTTAATTAATTATAAATCAATCACATCTTTTTAGCAGTGCATTTTATCATGAATTGTCAATAGGAATATCTGCTTATTCATTCAATAATTATTAAAATATAAAAATATTTTTTCTAAAATATCACCCAAATTTGAGTAATGAAAATTTTTTTTGAAGTTGTAAAAATTTATGAACACTTTGGTGGGGATAGGCTTCTGAAATAAATTTGAAAAACTTAAAATTAATGTAAACTGAAAATAGGCTCAGACCCCATGGTGCTAACCTTTTCATCACCAAAGAAATTAACTGAAGAAGCTAAACAGTCTCAAGGCATGTAGTACATTACTATTGAGAGAATGTACAAGTAGGCTTGTCATCAAGAGGTGAACAATTTTAGTTATTTAATTTCGTGTATCAGAAACAACTTCAACCAGTTTCTATGAAATTCATGAATAAAAGATTTCCCACTTGTGAGAACTAAAGGGCCAGTAATAAACCAAGTGTATTGTTAAATAAAAGACGTAAATATAAATGGAAGAAAGTTTCTTAAAATGAAGTCAAGCTTCTTTGGTGGGTTGCAAACTCTAAATGTTATTAAAGAGTAAAATTAAAAAGAAATTATAAGTTATACCCTGAAATATTGATGATCTCAAAATTTAGAAAAAAATTTAATAACTGGAATATCTCAATAAAATATCATAATTATGTCACTTTGGTTAGAGAATATAGCTTTAAAAATTTTATTAGCTAATTTGCATTTATTAATTTGAGAAAACCTTCACCTTCATTAATTCAGATTAGAATTTTAATTGTAAAACAGGTTTCATTCTGTTGCCTTCCAGTTGTATATTGCTTCTGGGAGTAACAAGTTTTTTTAAATTACAGTGTCTACCATGTAATCTCATACAAGTTTAAAATTTAAAGGTCTCTTGGCTGGGCACAGTGGCTCACACCTGTAATCCCAGCACTTTGGGAGGCTGGAGTAGGCAGATCATGAGGTTAAGAGATTGAGACCATCTTGGCCACATGGTGAAACCCCATCTCTACTAAAAACACAAAAATTAGCTGGTAGTGGTGGTACGCACCTGTAATCCCAGCTACTCAGGAGGCTAAGACAGAAGGAGGCAGAGGGTGCAGTGAGCTGAGATCACGCCACTGCACTCCAGCCTGGTGACAGAGTGAGACTCCATCTCAAACAAGCAAACAAATAAATAAATAAATAAAGTTCTCTTATATTTTACTAGTTTTACTTTGACAAAATTAGATAAATGGCAGATTATTTTTTTCATAAGTAACATTTCTCTTAACCTCATTTCATCTTAACCTCATAGGTATAAAAATATATACAATCAAACTCTATCATCCAAATTGGAAGAATAATAGTAATTCATGTAGTCAAATAAACAGGCAGAAATAAATTAGGAAAGCCAGAAGAATCCCCAGACCTTCTGAAAGAAGGGCACTCAAATACAGTGAGTGCCCAAACTGTGGAAATGGGAAAGGGAGATCCTCCACTCCTGAACACACACACACACACCAGGGAGCTTAAAGGTCTAGATTATGGAGGAACATTCTGACCTTACATGGAGCTGAGTCCATTTAGAGAGCCAAGAAAAATACAGGGTTAGAGGAAACAGTGGGGAAATCCCTGTAAAGTCATTGGGTCCCATAGGAAGCAATTTCTGCTTGACCTCACAGGGATCCTTAAGCAGGGCTGCTTAAGGATCCTCAGGCCAGAGGCACTGAGTAAAGGTCACAGGGAAAAGGAAACCTCTAATTGAACTTTATAACAATTTGAACTGATTGAGAAGTCTCCTGGCCAGAACTCAGGGGAGGGTGTGAATCAGTGTGCAGACTCCATAAGTTGGGGAAGAAGGAAAAAACCCTGCTTACTTTTGCAGCTGGGAGGCAGGTAGCCAGAGGCAAGTTCTCAGCTCTGCTGGCCCACTGCCTGGAAAGAGACTGTACTGTTGGAAGGGGCACAGTGGGAGTGAGACCAGCCCTTTGAATTGCATGGGAACTGTGGGAGGCCTGTAACTGTTGTTTTCCCCCCACTTCCCTGACAACGTACATGACACAGTAGAGGCAGCCATAATCCTCCTGGGAACATAACTCCATTGACCTGAGGCCCTCACCCTCGTCCTTCATAGCAGACACAGCAAGACCTGCCCAAATAAAGTCTGAGCTCAGACATGCCTAGCCTTGCTCCCACCTAATTGTCCTTCTCTACACACCATGATAAATAAAGACAAAGGGCATATACTCTTGGTAGTTCTAGGGCCCCACCCAACACCTGTTTCTCCTCATACTACCACAGCTGATAATCTTTTTAAAGTGCCATCTCCTAGCAGGACACCAAACTGCAAAAAAATAGTACTGTTTATTATATTGATTGGTGGTTGATTATAAATAACCAAAGCTCAGGACCCTCACAGAGTCCATTTTACCACCTGCCACCTCTACCAGAGCAGGTGCCAGTATCCAGAGAGACCCATAGATATTCATATAACAGGACTCTGTACAGATAACTCCCAGTCCCAGCCCAGAGCTTGGTAGACTTGCTGGGTGGCTGGATCCAGAAGTGAGATAATAATCACTACAGCACAGCTCTCAGGAATCCATATCTCTAGGAAAAGGGGGAGAGTATTACATCTAGGAAACACCCTGTAGATCAAAAGGAACTGAACAGCCTTGAGTCTTAGACTTTCCCTTCAACAGAGCCTAACCAAATGAAAAGGAAACCAACTCTGGTAATATGACAAAACAAGGTTTTTTTAACACCCCCCCAAAATCACAGTAGCTCACCAGCAATGGATCCAAACCAAGATGAAATCCCTGATTTACCTGAAAAATAATTCAGAAGGTTAGTTATTAAGCTAATCAGGGAGGCACCAGAGAAAGGTGAAGCTCAATGTAAGGAAATCAAAAAATGATACAAGAAATGAGGGGAGAAATATTCAGTGAAATAGACAGCAATGAAAAACAATCAAAACTTCAGGAAACAATGGATGCACTTATAGAAATGCAAAACCCTCGGGAAAGTCTCAGCAATAGAATTGAACAAGCAGAAGAAAGAACTTCAGAGCTCAAAGACAAAGTTTTCAAGTTAACCCAATCCAACAAAGACAAAGAAAAAGAATAAGAAAATATGAACAAAGACATCAAGAAGTCTTGGATTATGGTAAATGACCAAACCTAAGAATAATCAGTAAAAAAAGAAGAGAAACGTAAAAGTTTGGAAAATATATGTGGGGAAATAATTGAAGAAAACTTCCGTAGCCTTGCTAGAGAACTAGACATTCAAACACAAGAAGCTCAAAGAACATCTGAGAAATTCGTCACAAAAAGATCATCACCCAGGCAGGTGATGATCTTTAGATCTTTAGATAACCTGTTATCAGGTTATCTAAAGTTATGACAAAGGAAAGAATCTTAAGAGCTGTGAGGCAAAATCACCAGGTCACCTACAAAGGAAAACCCATCAGATTAACAGCATATTTCTCGGCAGAAACCCTGCAAGCTAGAAAGGACTGGGGCCCTATCTTTTAGCCTCTTCAAACAAAACAATTATCAGACAAGAGTTTTGTACCCAGCAAAACTAAGCTTCATAAATGAAGGAAAGATACAGTCTTTTCCAGACAAACAAATGCTGAGAGAATTTGCCACTATCAAGCCAGCAATAAAAGAACTGCTGAGGGGGTTGGCAGTGCCGTGTCATGGAGGCTCAGTATCTGAGCAGCCATTGAAGGGGAAGGAACTGTGGGGGTGTGTGTATGTGTGTGCATGCATGCATGCATGTGTGTGCGTGCTAGTGTGTGGACAAGGAGGTGGGGGCAGCTGAGTTAGAGTCCCAACTCTTGGATTCCATTTGCTATTCTCTTCTTTCTCCCCCACACCTATCTGGTGGTAGTGGGCGTTTATATTTGCATTCCTTTTCATTCATTTCTGAATCCTAAAAATTATGGGTTGGGGATGGTGGGAAAGTCAGGAAAGGGAAAGGAAGGAGAGTAGTAGCTGAAGAGCAAGAGGAGGACATGAAGATGAAGAAGAAGATTAACCTGGAGTTAAGGAACAGAGCCCCGGAGGAGGTGACAGAGTTAGTCCTTTTTAACTGCCTGTGTGTTAATGGGGAAATTGAAGGCCTGAATGATACTTTCAAAGAACTAGAATTTCTGAGTATGGCTAATGTGGAACTAAGTTCACTGGCCCAGCTTCCCAGCTTAAATAAACTTCGAAAATTGGAGCTTAGTGACAATATAATTTCTGGAGGATTGGAAGTCCTGGCAGAGAAATGTCCAAATCTTACCTACCTCAATCTGAATGGAAACAAAATAAAAGATCTCAATACAGTAGAAGCTCTGCAAAATCTTAAAAATTTAAAAAGTCTTGACCTGTTTAACTGTGAAATCACAAACCGGGAAGATTAGAGAGAAAGTATTTTTGAACTGCTGCAGCAAATCACATACTTAGATGGATTTGATCAGGAGGATAATGAAGCACCAGACTCTAAAGAGGAGGATGATGAAGATGATGAGGAAGAGGAAAATGAAGCTGGTCCACCTGAAGGATATGAGGAAGAGGAGGAAGAAGAGGAAGAGGAGGATGAGGATGAGGAGAAAGATGAAGATGAAGCAGGTTCAGAGTTGGGAGAGGGAGAAGAGGAAGTAGGTCTCTCATACTTAATGAAAGAAGAAATTCAGGATGAAGAAGATGATGATGACAATGTTGAAGAAGGAGAAGAAGAGGAAAAAGAAGAAGAAAGTCTTCGAGGGGAGAAGAGGAAACGAGATGCTGAAGATGATGGAAAGGAAGAAAATGACTAGATCATTCTAAGACCAGATTCTCTAATATTTCTGAGTGTGCGATACAGTGATCACGTCTTTGTTTCACATAACAGAAGATAATGTGTAACTTTTTATAGGAAAAGTGTGGTTTTGCTATTTTTGCCTTATCATTCCAAATAAGAACTAGTCTGTTAATGATTATATTTTATGTAGAGAAAAATTTTCATTAACTATCATTGTCGAATTCCCTAGCAATTTATTTAGACTTTTCATTTTTAAAATTCAAGCTTACTGTATTAGGCATTTTTGGCTCATAATTAAAACATCACTTTTACACAGTTGTAGTTTGATGGATTTCATTCCTTATATATATATTAACTGAAATTACAGTTTGCTGTAATATGAAATGACAATAGTCTCTTGAGTGGTAAGTTGGTTATTTTTAAGAGGTAATCCAGGGATCTTTAGTTTGAAGGCAGTTACCTTTTTTTTGAGTAAGAGTGTTTGGTTGCTTTTCTGTCACAAGTAACTTGGAAAGTAGAAGCAGAATAGTAAAAGTTCTATTCAGCGACATCGTTCACAGGTTTTGTGGAGGTTCTATTCAGTAACATAGTTCATGGATTTCATGGTGACTGATAATTTCATCTTTGAAGGACTGATTTTATTTTTGAAGGAAAAATCGCTTATACTAAGTCCAGAGACATGCAGGTGAACCCTTTCATCAGGCTGCAAATCATGACATGCCGATGGTGGTTTATTTTATTGTGTTTTAGGTGTGCATTCTTTTTCTTCTTAGCAATTTCTTTATAATCACCTCCCCTTCTTGATTCTCTTCCCTTCTGCTCTCTCAAAAGAAAGTTGGGAAACTTGTGAATACCCAGGAAAACTTTTAGTCTTATACCTCAACTACCTTTCAGTCCTGTCTGGGTTTATATAAGTGAAGTGAAAGAAATTGACTATTTTCTGACCTAAGAATATATTATCAACACAGTTTTATGCAGTAAGCTCTGCTTACCATAAATGTTTCTTGGTCGACAACATCTAAGAGTATATTAGTAGGATGAAGAAAGAAAAGCAGGGGGTGGTTTTGGAAGCAGTATTAATGTTCCTCAAAAGTCAGAACAATTGCCTGTTGATAATCAACAGCCTGTTGATAATAAGACATTAAAGTCAAATTTTAAAGTTGGCTCCTCAAATGTTTTGGATACCACTCTGCAAAGTATTCCTAATTTTTCTGAGCAGAACCTTTAATTCCTACAGTTTTAAAGCATTACCAGATAAAAGAATAGCATTTAATTGGAATATATTAAGCAGTTGAAAAATATTTAAAACTAAATTGACATTAAAATTAAGATTTGTTTTCAAGTGTATGTCCATTATAAGTAGAAAAATATTTGGGATGTGAGTGTGTGTTTTCTTACATGGCTACTAAATAAAACATAACAAATTGACAAGTGTATCTCCCCTTTTGCTATGGCAGCTGAATGTTCAAGGCAATGGCTTTTAAATCTTGACTATCTAAATTTTTTCCCTTTGTTTTGAATATTTGTAAGTTTTTAAAAAGTTAGTGTTGGCAGATTGATTGAAGTTATGCTTCTGTACCTGGGACATATTTAAATACTGAGTATAGTACTGCTGCTACTGCTTCTACAATGTAAAATGTGTGACTTGATGTTTAAACATAAAAATTATGATGTTGTGGCTGGGCGCGGTGGCTCACGCCTGTAATCCCAGCACTTTGGGAGGCCGAGGCAGGTGAATCACGAGGTCAAGAGATAGAGACCATCCTGGTCAACATGGTGAAACCCCGTCTCTACTAAAAATACAAAAAATTAGCTGGGCATGGTGGCGCATGCCTGTAATCCCAGCTACTCAGGAGGCTGAGGCAGGAGAATTGCCTGAACCCAGGAGGCAGAGATTGCGGTGAGCCAAGATCATGCCATTGCACTCCAGCCTGGGTAACAACAGCGAAATGCCATCTCAAAAAAAAAAAATTATGATGTTACTGTGGAGAAACTAAAAAAGCTGCACAACTGACTGAAATAAAACACTTGGAATAAGTGTAGTGAGGAATCTCCAAAAAACTAACAGTTTTCTTCTGCTTTTAAAAATTGAAATGCCCTGTTACAGTTCTTAACAATTCTCATTACATACTATGCCAGATTACAAAAATACTTATTTTTAAAATGAAATCTATATATTAACTTTCTTATCAATCATCTTACTGTGCAATCAAAATTACAGTACTTTGGTTTGAAAACAACACTTAGAGCCTCCAGGTAACTTTTAAGACTTACTTAGCTTTGTGGGTGGTATTTTCATGCAAGTAAGTAAGGGTGGGTTTTATATTTTGTAGAAGTTTGTGGTCCTATTTTAATGCTCTTTGTATGGCAGTATGTATATAGTGTGTCAAGTTCCTCAAGAATCTCCTTTAAAACTTTGAAGTTAATACTTTTGTGCAACTGTGTTTTGAATAAAGCCATGTTTTGTTGTGTTAAAAACAAAACAAAACAACAACAAAAAAGAACTGCTAAAGGAGCTCTAAATCTTAACTCATGGAAACACATCAAAACTGAACCTCTTTAAAGCATAAATCACACAGGACGTATAAAACAAATATGATTAATTGACTAATAGCAAGATTAATGGACTAGAACCTCACATCTCAATACTAACATTAAACGCAAATGGTCTAAATGCTCCACTTAAAAGATACAGAATGGTAGAATGGATAATAATTCACCAACAAAATATGTGCTGCCTTCAAGAGACAAACCTAACACATAAGGAGTCCATAAATTTAAGGTAAAGGGATGGCAAAAGACATCCCATGCAAATGGACACCAAATGCAAACAGCAATAGCTTCTTACATTAGACAAAACAAACTTTAAAGCAACGGCAGTTAATAAAGACAGAGAGGGGCATTATATAATAATAAAAGGCCTTGTCCAACAGGAAAATATCACAATCCTAAATACATACTCACCTAACACTGGAGCTCCCAAACTTATAAAACAATTACTGCTAGACCTAAGAAAAGATAGATAGCAACATAATAATTGTGGGGGGTCTTTGATATTCCACTGACAGCAATACATGGGTCATCAAGACAGAAAATCAACAAAGAAAAAATGGATTTAAACTATATCCTAGAACAAATAGACTTAACAGATATTTAGATGGCATTCCACCCACCAACCACAGAATATACATTCTATTCAACAGCACCTGGAACTTTCTCCAGGATAGACCATATGATAGGCCACAAAATGAGCCTTAATACATTCGATGAAATTGAAATTATATCAAGCTGTCTTTCAGACCACAGTGGAATTAAATTGGAAATCAACTGCAAAAGGAATCGTCAAAACCATGCAAATACATCGAAACTAAATAACCAGCCTTTGAATGATCATTGGGTCAAAAATGAAATCAAGACGGAAATTTAAAAATCCTTCAAACTTAATGACAATAGTGATTGCAGCCTATCAAAACCTCTGACATACAGCAAAGGCAGTACTAAGAGGATAGTTCATAGCCCTAAACACCTACATCAAAACGTCTGAAGGAGCACAAACAGACAATCTAAAGTCACACCTCAAGGAACTAGAGAAATAAGAACAAACCAAACCCAAACCTAGCAGAAGAAAGGAAATGACTGAGATCAGAGCAGAACTAAATAAAATGGAAATAAAATAATAAAAAAGACAACTAAAACAAAAAGCTGGTTCTTTGAAAAGAACCACATAAACAGAATCAAATAAAATTGAGAGACCATTAGCAAGATTAACCAAGAAAAGGAGAGAGAACATCCAGATAAGCTCAATTTGAAATAAAATGGGAGCTATTACCACTGACATCACGGAAATACCAAAGATTCTTCAAGGCTATTACGAACACCTTTATGCATGTAAACTAGAACATCTAGAGGAGATGCTTAAATTCCTGGGAAGATATAACCTTCCTAGCTTAAATCAGAAAGAATTAGATACTCTGAACAGACCAATAACAAGCAGCAAGTTTAAAATGTTAACAAAAGAATTACCAACCAAAAAAAAAAAGTCCAGGACAAGACAGATTCAAAGCAGAATTCTACCTGATATTCAAAGAAGAATTGGTAGCAATTCTACTGACACTATTCATCAAGATAAAGAGGGAACTCTCCCTAAATCATTGTATGAAGCCAGTATCACCCTAATACCAAAATCAGGAAAGGACATATCAAAAAAAAAGAAAACTACAAATGAATATCTCTGATGAACACAGATGCTAAAATCCTTAACAAAATACTAGCTAACTGAATTCAACAACATATCAAAAAGATAATCCTCCATGATCAAGTAGGTTTTATACCAGGGGTGCAGGGATGGTTTAACATACACAAGTCAACAAATGTGATGCACCACATAAACAGAATCAAAAACAAAAATCACATGATTATCTCAATAGATGTCAAAAAAGCATTCAACAAATTCAGTATCCCTTTGTGATTAAAACTCAGCAAAACTGACATACAAGGACATACCTCAATGTAATAAAAGCCATCTATGACAAACCCATAGCCAACATAATACAGAATAGAGAAAAGTTGAAAGCATCCCCTCTGAGAACTGGAACAAGATGAGGATGCCCACTCTCACCATTCCTCTTCAGCATAGCACTGGAAGTCCTAGCCAGAGCAAACAGACAAAAGAAATAAATACAGGGTATCCAAATTGGTAAAGAGGAAGTCAAACTGTGGCTGTTTGCTGATGATATGATTGTTTATCTAGAAAACCCCAAAGACTCCTCCAGAAAGCTCCTAGAACTGATAAAAGAATTTAGCAAAATTTCCAGACACAAAATTAATGTATACAAATCAGTAGCTCTTCTATATACCAACAACAACCAAGCAGAGGATCACATCAAGAACTCAAACCCCTTTACAATAGCTGCAAAAAACATTAAAAGCTTAGGAGTGTACCTAACCAAGGAGGTGAAAGACCTCTACAAGGAAAACTACAAACCACTGCTGAAAGAAATCATAGATGACACAAACAAATGGAAACACATTTTATGCTCATGGATGGGTGGAATCAATATTGTGAAAAAGCCATACTGACAAAAGCAATCTACAAATTTAGTGCAATTCCCATCAAAATACCACCATCATTCTTCATAGTATTAGAAAAAACAATCCTAAAATTCATATGGAACCAAGAAAGAGCCCACATACCCAAAGCAAAACTAAGCAAAAAGGTCAAATCTGGAGGCATCACACTACCTGATTTCAAACTATAAGGCCATACTACTCGCCAAAACCGAATGGTACTGGCATAAAAATCGGCACATATACCAGTGGAACAGAATAGAGAACTCAGAAATAAATCCTAATACTTAAACTGCCAACCGATCTTTGACAAAGCAAACAAAAACATAAAGTGGAGAAAGGACACTCTATTCAACATCAAATAGTGCTGTGATAATTGGCAAGCCACATTTAGGAGAATGAAACTGGATCCTCATCTCTCATCTAATACAGAAATCAACTCAAGATGGATCAAGGACTTAAATTTAAGACCTGAAACTGTAAAAATTCTAGCAGACAACATTGGAAAAACCCTTCTAGACATTGGCTTGTGCAATGATTTCATAACCAAGAACCCAAAAGCAAATGCAATAAAAACGAAGATAAGTAGCTGGGACTTGATTAAACTAAGGAGCTCTTGCATGGCAAAAGGAACAGTCAGCAGAGTAAACAGATAAACCATGGAGGAAATCTTCACAATCTATACCTCTGACAAAGGAGTAATATGCAGAATCTACAACAAACTCAAACTAATTAGCAAGAAAAAAACAATCCCATCAAAAAGTGGGCTGAGGACATGAATAGACAATTTTATAAAGAAGATATACAAATGGCTAGCAAACATGAAAAAATACTCAGTGTCACTAATGATCAGGGAAATGCAAATCAAAACCAGAATGTGATACCACCTTACTCCTGCAAGAATGGCCATAATAAAAAATAATAGATGTTGGCCTGGATGCAGTGAAAGGGGAATACTTTTACACTGCTGGTGGGAATGTAAACTAGTACAACCACTATGGAAAACTGTGGAGATTCCTTAAAGAACTAAAAGTAGAACTACCATTCGATCCAGCAATCCCACTACTACATATTTACCTAGAAGAAAAGAAGTCATTATACTGAAAAAGATATTTCCACTTGAATGTTTATAGCAGCACAATTTGCAATTGCAAAATGTGGAACCAACCCAAATGCCCATCAGTGAGTGGATAGGGAAACTGTGATATATATATATACCAATGAGTGGATAGGGAAACTGTGGTGTGTATACACACACACACACAATGGAATACTACTTAGCCGTAAAATGAAATGAAATTAATGGCATTCGCAGCAACCTGGATGAGATTAGAGACCATTCTAAGTGAAGTAACTCAGGAATGGAAAACCAAACATTGTATGTTCTCACTCATATGATGAGAGCTAAGCTATGAGGATACAAAGGCATAAGAATAACACAATGGACTTTGGGAACTCAGGGGGCAAGGGTAGGAAAGGGTGAGAGATAAAAGACCACAAATTGGGTGTCATGCATACTGCTTGGGTGCTTGGGTGATGGGTGCACCAAAATCTCACAAATAACCACTAAATAACTTACTCATGTAACCAAACACCACCTGTTCCCCAATAGCCTATGGAAATATAAAATAAAATAAAAGACATTTAAAGACTGAATATGGATGCCAGTTCACATCAAAACTGGAAGGAATGTTTAGGGATATGAGCATCTCAAACACAATGATGGATGAATTCAGGCAACATCTTCAGGCAACTGGTGTATCTTTAGGCGGTGTTGATCTTACAGTCCGGGTGCTCACGACAGGATATTGGCCCACTCAGTCAGCCACACCAAAATGCAACATCCCACCAGCACCAAGACATGCTTTTGAGATATTCAGAAGGTTCTACTTAGCCAAACACAGTGGTCGACAGCTCACACTCCAGCATCATATGGGTTCTGCAGATCTCAATGCCACATTTTATGGACCAGTTAAAAAGGAAGATGGATCTGAAGTTGGTGTTGGAGGTGCACAAGTAACTGGCTCTAATACATGGAAGCACATACTGCAAGTCTCTACTTTCCAGATGACCATATTAATGCTCTTTAATAATAGAAAAAAATACACGTTTGAGGAAATTCAGCAAGAGACAGATATCCCTGAAAGAGAGCTTGTTAGAGCCCTACAGTACCTCGCCTGTGGTAAACCAACACAGCAGTTTCTTACAAAAGAACCCAAATCAAAGGAAATAGAAAATGGTCATATATTTACAGTTAATGACCAATTCACATTTAAACTACACAGAGTCAAGATTCAAACAGTTGCTGCCAAACAAGGTGAATCCGACCCAGAGGAAAGAAACAAGACAGAAAGTAGATGACGACAGAAAACATGAGATAGAAGCTGCTATAGTGCAGATAATGAAATCTAGAAAAAAGATGCAGCACAATGTTCTAGTAGCAGAGGTAACTCAGCAGTTGAAGGCTCGATTCTTACCAAGTCCAGTTGTTATTAAGAAACGTATTGAAGGACTTATTGAGAGAGACTATTTGGCACGAACACCTGAGGATCGCAAAGTATACACATATGTAGCATAAAATGCGTTCAGAAATTTGATTTATTCTTGGACTGTACTCTTCACATGGACTGGAAAGTTCTTTTAAATCATTAAATATTAAGACGACCATCTCTTCTATTAAATTACAGTACATATTCTAGACCATTCAGATCAAGCCTTTACTCCCTTCGAGAGTTTTCAACATCAATTGATTGAGCTTCAGGCTTTACAACGTTTATCCCTGTAGAGATCATCTTTACAGTTCCTTGGGAAAACGTGAATGTGCTGCATTTTGTTTTCTTTACTGTATGAAAACAGGAAAAAAAAAACAAAAATTTAGACAATACAGCTCATTAAAATAAAATTGTTGGATAAAAGGATGAGATCCACGATGGCTGATCACTAACAGTTCGGGATTGTAGCTCCCAGTGAAAGAGCAGAGAACGAGAGGACGCCACACTTTCAGACAAATTTTTGTCACCCACAGACCAGAAGATTCCCAGTGGAGGGGCCCCACGGGTTGCCAGCACAACTTTTGTGGCCGGCGCAGGGGTTTTGCCGGCACCTCGGCGTGGCAGCTCTTCATGCAGAGTAAACGGGAGTAGATTCCCAGGCAGAAGAGTTCCATCAGTCTTATCGCTGCTGTTTTGGCCAGCACAGTGGGTTGCTCAGATTCCAGCACTGGGAATCAATAAACTGGGCATCCACTCAGAAACGCAACTAGAAAGGCAGTAATTGTAAAGACGACAGATGGATAAATTTATAACGAAGGGAAGAAACCAGCCTAAAAAGGCCAAGAATACCCAAAATCAGAACCCCTCTCCCTCTACAGGGGATTACAGTTCCTCATCAGCAACAGAACAACCCCTGATGGAAAAGGACTGTGTGCCATTAACAGAAGTAGGCTTCAGAAGGTGGATGATAAGAAACTTCTGGGAGTTAAAAGAACTTGTTCTAACCCAATGTAAAGAAACTAAGAACTTTGAAAAAAGGTTTGACAAAATGCTAACAAGAACAGACAATATAGAGAGGAATATAAATGAACTAACAGAGTTGAAAAACACCACACAAAAACTTAGCAAAATATGCACAAGTTTGAATAGCCAAATTGATCAAGCAGAAGAAAGGATATCAGAGGTTGAAGACCTACTTAATGAAATAAAATGAGAAGACAAGAATAGAGTAAAAAGGATAAAAAGGAATGAGCAAAGTCTCCAAGAAATATGGGACTACGTGAAAAGACCTAATTTACGTTTGATAGGTGTACCTGAATATGACGAAGAGAATGAATCCAAGCTGGAAAATACTCTTCAGGACATTATTCAGGAAAACTTTCTGAATCTAGCAAAGCAGGACAATATTCAACCCCAGGTAATACAGAGAACACCACAAAGATATTCCTCAAGAAGAGCAACCCCAAGGCACATAATCATCAGATTCACCAGGGTTGAAACAAAGGAGAAAATACTAAGGGCAGCCAGAGAGAAAGGTCAGGTTACCCACAAAGGGAAGCCTATTAGACTTACAGCAGAGCTCTCAGCAGAAACCCTACAAGCAAGAAGAGAGTGGGGGCCGATATTCAACATCCTTAAAGAACAGAACTTTCGGCCCATAATTTCATATCCTGCCAAACTAAGCTTCATGATTGAAGGAAAAATAAAATCTTTTATGAACAAGCAAGTACTCAGAGATTTAATTACAATCAGGCCGGCTTTACAAGAGCTTCTGAAAGAAGCATTACACATAGAAAGGAACAACCAGTATTAGCCTTTCTAAAAATATACCAAAAAGTAAAGAGCATCAACATGAAGAAGAATTTACATCAATGAATGGATAAAATAGCCAGTTAACATCAAATGGCAGTAACCCTAAATTTAAGTCGACTAACTCCCCCAGTCAAAAGATACAGCAAAACCTAATGGTATGCTACATCCAGACCCATTTCACATCCAAAGATACACAAAGACTTAAAACAAAGGGATGGAGAAAGATTTACCAACCAAATGGAGAGCAAAAATAAATAAATAAGTAAAAAGCAGGAGTTTCAATTCTCGCATCTGATAAAATAGATTTCAAAGCAACAAAGATATAGTGGTAAAAGGATCAATGCAACAGTAAGAGCTAACAATTCTAACATTCGGATACATAAGTCTCATAAAGAGATTTAGATTCAATGAGACAGAAAATTAATAAAGATATCCAGGACTTGAACTCAGATCCAAAACAAGTAAACTCAATAAATATTTGTAGAGCTCTCCATTTTAAATACACAAAATATACATTCTCCACCTTAAATACACAAAATATTGATCAGCCATTATTAATACCCATTTTTAGAATAAAGCCACATTCCCATTCTCTCTCCCTTTTTCTTCCTCTTTCTTCCTCTCCTTAAAATAAATAAATAAATAAATAAAATAAAATAAATAAATTTTTAAAAATATAAAAAATAAAATAAAATAAAAACAAATTAATGGAACAGCCTAAAAGTGCATATACATGGCAGGAGTTATTGGAATTTGTTTCAGTCATACAAAATATATGATTTCTCTGTGTTAATATTGATGTAACCATTTTATCAGCTCATTTTTATTGATCATGGTAAAATCACCTTGAAAAGGATACACTCTGTCTCCCAGGCTGGAGTGTAGTGGTGTGATCTTGGCTCACTGCCTTCCCAGTGAGCCAACCCAAATGCCCATCAATGAGTGGATAGGGAAACTGTGGTGCAATCCTTCTGCCTCAGCCTCCCAAGTAGCTGGGATTACAGTCATGCACCACCACATCTGGCTAATTTGTGTATTTTTAGTAGAGATGGCGTTTCACCATCTTGGCCAGACTGGTCTCAAACCCCTGACCTCAGGTGATCTGCCTACCTTGGCCTCTCAAAGTGCTTGAATTACAAGCATGAGTCTCCATGCCCATTCATTTTGTATTTGATTTTTATCTCTGTTTTAAAGAGAAAAAACATTGCAGCTATAAAGTAGACATCTTCTATGTTCCCCCTCCAAGTCCTATTCCAATCCCTTCTTCACCAAGGAAATTATTTCTTTGAGTTTGTTGTACATCTATTCCATATTTCTATTTCAAAATGCATGTATATGTATTCATGAGTATATAGCAGTTTTTTTGTCTTGTGTAAATTGATTTGTGCTATGTAAATTTTCTGTACTTGCTTACTTATGCAATATTGTTTGCAAGATCTATTCCTCTTCCTACATAAAAATATAGATAATTCATTTTCATTGCTGTGCATTTTACCAACATATCACTTTTTCATAATTTACCTTACACTGTTATTTAGTTAGGTTATGACCAACTTTTTAATATTATTCTGTAATTAAAATTTTGTATTTTTTTAATATTTCAGATTATTTAAGTAGGATAGTTGCTTAGAAGTAGATATGAAAGTTTTTGAGGTGTGAAATTCATATTTGAAAATATTTCCAAAAAGATTACAGTTTATAATCTCAAAAGCCATTTATGAAAGTGCTCATCTTACTGCACTTTCACTAGCATTGAATATTCCAAGTTATTCTGGAGTTAATTCACTCATTTTTAATGGAAACAATTGACTTAGTGATTAAATTAGCATAGAAAAATGTGATGTATGTGTTGGTTGGATGTAAGCCATTTAGTTAAGTTCCAAGATCCATTTTAAAATCATCTATTGATTATGAAATGCTGTTATATCATTTCATGTTGTGGTTTGTCTTTTTTTCAGCAAGGCTATATATGGATCTGCTATGTTTTGTCTATGCTATTCTTGGAAATTTTTGTTTTTCTCTGTAGTACATTTTATTATAATATCCAGTATTAAAAGTACTTTTTTTTAGAAATACAGCATATGTTTTACTTTCTTTATTGGGTATTTGTGATCACCAACTCTCTTCATTATTTTGGAATTTCAATTTTAAGCTCTAAGATGATGTCATTTTTGTAGCCAAAAGAGCTAAACAACAATATCATCTACAGTTATGCAACTTGAATCAAATTATTCTCATTTTCCCCAGGAAATGATTTTCAGATTATTTATCCATATAGTAGGACTATTATGTTAGTCCTTATGTTATTAAATAGATTAAATAAGAACCTTATGTTATTAAATAGATTAAATGAGAACCTTTGAAATAAAGTAGAAATGGACTAGAGTCAGTGATATCTTTCCAAGTAGTTATAGATGCCTAAAGTTTCCAGTAGAACCCAAAATTAGAGAAATTTCAGAGGTATGATTGATCATATTTCTCTGCCACTTTGCCTGACACAGCCAAGAGAGCAATTTATGCATCACAGGTTGCCCAAATCCTGGAAATCATGAAAGGCCTTATGTTCCCACAGCATCCTCCCCAACCCACACACCAAGACTTTATATTTTGTACCTTAGCCAACTCTCCCCCGAGTTACAGTTTGAATTTTGCCATTGCCCAAAATGACTTCAGAAATCTTGACTCTCCAAATTCTACTCTAAATTCTAATTTTTCCTTCTTCCACTTCTGTCTGTCCCTCATTCCTGCTACACTCTTCTCTGACCTATGGAAACTTGAAGTCTTTTGTTTCTTCAATTTACTTTTAGACTGTCAATTCCCTTCCTGGCCCCACCACCAAAAAAAGTTGTAATTGTTATCATTGATACAACTCTTTTGATTGCCTTCAGTGATTCCTCTCAAACCACTTCAGTATGGACCATTCTCCCCTACTGCTGATGTATACAAAATTCTTGTTCCCTTATGTTAACAGATTACCCCATTTCCTACTTCATCAAGAAAATTTGAGAGCTTAGAAATGCCTCCCTCGACTACCAGCCCTCCTTCTACCATGCCACCTACACCCATACCATCCCTGCAATCCTCCCTCTAGTCTGAACAAATGAGATGCCTCACTTCTATTCAGTGTCAGCCCCTCCTCCTGTGCTGTCAATCTCCTCTTCATTGTCTCCTCTTGGAATTTACTCCATTATTTTTGTAGCATCTTATCTATCTTTAATCTGTTCCTCTTTGCCAATGTCTTCACATCAGCTTTCCTCTCCCTTGACCGTTCAGTTTCTTCATAGCCCCTTAACTTTTCTCCTCTCCTCATTCAGACTTTACAAAGAACATTCTACCTGTATTGTATTTATTTATTTTCTTCTTATTTATCTTCAACCCACTGTAAGATAGTTATCACCTGAAATGTCTGTATTAGTCAGGTTCTCTAGAGGGACAGAACTAATAGGATAGATAGATAGATATAAAAAGGGGAGTTTATTAAGTAGTATTAATTCACACGATCACAAGGTCTGCAAGCTGAGGTGTAAGGAAGCCAGTTCAAGTCTCAAAGCTGAAGAACTTCGAGTCCGACATTTGAGGGCAGGAAATATCCAGCATGGTAGTCCAATGTTTGAGGGCAGGAAGCATCCAGCATGGTAGTCCAATGTTTGAGGGCAGGAAGCATCCAGCATGGTAGTCCAATGTTTGAGGGCAGGAAGCATCCAGCATGGTAGTCCAATGTTTGAGGGCAGGAAGCATCCAGCATGGTAGTCCAATGTTTGAGAGCAGGAAGCATCCATCATGGTAGTCCAATGCTTGAGGGCAGGAAGCATCCAGCATGGGAGAAAGATGTAGGCTAGGAGGCTAAGCCAGTCTAGGTGTTCATGTTTTTCTAACTGCTTTATATTTGCTGCCACCTGATTAGATGGTGCCCACCCAGATTAAGGGTGGGTCTGCCTTCACAAGCCCACTGACTCAAATGTTAATCTCCTTTGGCGACACCCTCACAGATACCCCCAAGATACTTTGCATCTTTCAATCCAATAAAGTTCACACTCAGTATTAACCATCACAATGTTTACTAGTGATTCATCAAGGTTACTAGTGATCTACTGTTTTTAAAATGGAGTAGATATCCCCAGTCTCTCTTCACTGGACACTTTTCCTGTGTAGGATGCTCTTGTTCACTTCCTTTTTCCTAACACAGTTCTATTCATTGGACTCTAGTCACCCTTACACTCTAGACTCCATTTCTTCTTGTTGCTCTTCCTGTTTTCAGCCCTCAAGTATTAGTGTCCCTTAAGGTACCGTCCCCAGTCAGCTGCACTCTAATTCCCCTTACAGTCCCCTTGGAGAGCTCATTCACGTGAGTTTCTACTTCTGTGACACTTCTAAGTTGTATCTCCAGCTCAAACCTATTCCCTAAGCTTCAGATTTTGATAGCCACCTGATTCCTGGTCATCTCCACCTATGTCCCCAGGAACCTAAAGTTAATTATGATTAAAACTGATTTCAGTCTCTTGCATTTATCTATTTTCACCTTGATATTCTGCATCTCCATTGGTGACATCACTGTATGCTGGGAGACTGGAAGACATGTTTGTGCATGACTCACTCCCTCGCCCCCATATCCTGTCACCAAGTCCTACATTTTTATCTTTTAAATGTTTCCTGAATCAACTGCTTTTTATTCCTCATTACCTCTTTCATTACTAGCCCTGTTAAGTATCCTGTTTTTGTTTTTCTTTTTTTGAATAGGATAGAGTATATATACAGAACACCAATCTGCCAAAATCACTTCCCATTAAAAATGTTTTAATTATACTCCTTCACTTATGCAACAAAATCTATCTCCTTTAAAAAAAAATACAAGCTTTGAGTTTCTTGAGGGCAGAGACCATACCATGCACTATTATTAGTGTAATGCCCAGCACTTAGAAAATGTTTAATAAGATATTACTTAATGAGGGATATGAGGGATGAATAAATTATAGAAGTGCTGTGTATCCGTTCTTGTCATTCTTTTTTTCATACAGTGTCACTGTTTCATACAGTGGCACAGACAACAGTATTTACCAAATAATCTGCGTCCTCCCCCCTACATTTCCCAGCCTTCCTTGCTCTTAGGGTGAGGTCATATAAATAGTTCTAGACAATGAGCTATAAGCTTAAATGCTGCATGTCACTTGCAGCCCAGTATCTTTAAGAACAATGGTGAATTTTCCAAACTCTCTCTTCCCTTGCTTTGGCTCTGCTGACAGTCTTGAGATTGTATCACAAGATCACTGAGATTTCAGGGTTAATTTGTGAAAACAGCATAATCTGGCCAACCCTGAATAATAATAATGTTCACTATTACAAGTTTATACTTCAGTCTCTGTCTTATTATATACATATCAGCTTTTTTGAACCTTGCCCAGTATGCAGCTCTTTGGCTTCTCCTTACAACTGCCTAATACCTAGGCACAAAAATAATAATAACATTTGGAGTCTGAGGCAAGTGGATCACCTTAAGTCAAATGTTCAAGACCAGCCTGGCCAACATGGTGAAACCCTGTCTTTACTAAAAACATAAAAATTAGCCAGGCATGGTGGCCCACATCTGTAAGTTCCAGCTACTTAGGAGACCAAGGCAGGAGAATCACTTGAACCCAGGAGGCAGAGGTTGCAGTGAGCTGATATTGCACCACTGCATTCCAGCCTCAGCAACAGAGTGAGACTCCATCAAAAAGAAAAGAAAAAGAGAAGAAAAGAGAAGAGAAAAGAGAAGAATCACACATGACTGATGTTTTCCAACTCACCTGCCTGTTGCTAGCCAGCCCTCTGCCTCAGAACCTCTGCGTATCAGAGTGTGCTTCCTACACAATTTATGTTTTCCATCCTTGCCCAGCCTGAAATACAGGCAGAGCAGTTCATTGCTTGTTCTCTATGATCTAAGTGACAATAGAAGTATTTTTCTACATGCACACATGCACGTCCTCTGTACTACTTCATAGATGCCTTTGATTTCACAGCAGAATGCCATGTCTCTAACTTTAAATTTCAATCCTTGTTAGGGAAACTTCTTCCAAGAATTGTACTATAAGTTCTATTGCAAGCACAGGCTAAAGGAATCAGAGACTATCTCCAAAGTAGGTCTGGAAGTCTTAAGCCTTCCTAATTTGTTAAGGATGTGTAGATAACCTACAGAGACCTACAATTACTAATATTCTCTTGGTAACTTTGATATAATTCTTTTCTTTTCTACAAGTATTCTACAAAATGCACTGCTTTTGTATTTTGGAACCTAGTCAGGTTCCAAATTTTATTGAACTGTTTTGTATTTTGTTGTTTCAGTAAGTAATAATTCTTTCAGTTAGGAAAAAAGAAACAGAAAATATGCCTTCCAGGCTTATATGATCTCACCAGGATTTATCCTTTAGCTCTACTTTTTGTAGAAATGCTCTATCCTCAGACAGGCTCTCCTTTTTGTCATGTGTGAAGTTCCGAGGACTGTTCCCTTTCCGTTTCAAATCCGGCAGAGTAGAGAGAAAGTCTTTTCCCCGAAGTCACAAAGATTCATTGCTTTGTCTGTGTTCTGAATGGGTCATATTTCCACCCCTGGACCAATCTCTGTGGCCAGGTGGATTTTATGCACTAATTAGCTGAGACCTTAGTCATCCCTGAAGTGGGGAGAAAAAAAAAAAAAACACTGAAGTGGAAAAAAAAAAAACCACTGAATTGGAAAAAAAAAAGAATGGGCTTTAAAGAAAGCACTAAGGCCTAAGAATAAGGAAGGGGATAATTTCTGGAGAGAAATTAGGCTACCACAAGGAAGGATATGACGTTGGCAGCAATAGCAACCTCTATTCTCTCTATACAATCTGCTGCCAGGAGTTAGAAGTTAGAGACAGCTTCTAGTTAGAGTTAGAGAATGAAAGGGTTTTGTTGTATACTACATGTTACACTTTGATCATATTCTCTCTCCCTTCTCTGAACTTTCTAAACATATTCTAAAGTATTCTGCTGTATACTGCCTTGTGTTTTAGTTATTTATAAACATTTCTCTCCCCTAGATCTAGATCTAGATCATCAGCTATTTCAAGGCAAGTACTGGGGTTTATATGACTGTGCATCTTACATTGTGCATTACACATAGGAGGCATCCCTGACTATTCAACAAATAATTATTCATTGACAAAATGAAGGGATTAAAAGTCCATGGTTCTTCAGGTGGTAGGTTGGGGACTTATTTTTTTTTTTAAGTCAATGCATCTTACTCATTTTACTCATATTATTAGGTTGGTGCAAACATAATTGCACCAACCCAATATTATCTCATCACAGTTCTATAACTCCTGTGTGTGCATGGGTGTTTGTGTGCCAGGTGCTAATACACACACAGTAAGAACTTACTATGTGCCCATGGCAAGCAACAGGGATGTGAGTATATAGTGATTACAAAACAAACATTCCTCAGGTCTTCAAAAGCTTATACTCTAGTGACAAAGACAGACATTTATCAAATAGAGTGTAATCAGTGCTCCAAAGAATAATTGTAAGGTATTCAGGAAGAATGTGTGTGAATAATAGATCTTCCATATTATTATTTTTTTTCTGACTGATTCCAGCTCAATTCCAAATTGTCTACATCAGGGATTACCAGTTTTTTGAGAGATCTGTTAAACGTGGAATCATTCTTAGACAATTAACACTAGATTCCCAAATAAAAGCTCAAGATTCAAGAAATTACATATTATATTTGTAAGTAAAAACTAATTTAATTTTCTTTTCCTCTCTCCTTCCTACCTTTCTCCCAGCCTGAAGTTCTGGATCAAATACAAAATTTGAGGGAGTTATGGATGGATAATAATGCATTACAAGTGCTACCTGGGGTATGTAAGTTTTTATTCTACCATGTTGTCTAATATTTATGTTAGATATTTGGTGTATCTGATAATAATCTCAAGTCTTAAATTTCAGTTTTGCATTTCAAAGTAAAATAATGCTCATTAGCACTGTTCAGCCACCAAGTGTTTTCACCATTTTTTTTAGTATTTTATGTATCTTTTTGTGAGTTTTATAGGTATACAAAAATGTAAGAAAGATTTTTCTTATTCCCTTCAGAGTATATTTGTCATCTCTTCCCACATTTACTGTTGTTTAAAAGCTGAAATAATTTATAGTTATATTTTTAAAGAGCAAAATACTATATATAAGTTTTATTTTTACAAAATCAAGTAACTAGACAATAGTTTTTGTTCATTTTGTTGGAGTTCTTCTACAAAACAACAATCTCTCTCAGTTCAGGTGGTTTTCAGTAGAACCCATGTGAATTTTTGAAAATGGCAAGGATCATACACTATTAAAAACAGAAAGCTAAACCAGAGTCCAATTTTTTCCTCAACTGAAGTCCAGCCCAGTAATATCTCCTGAGTATTTACCAGTCAACTCACTGAGTGTGATTATTCCTATTTTTTACATCTAACGGAAGAGTGTTTCCATAAAACACTGCCCTTTGCCACTTGCACACACACACACACACACACACACACACACACACACTGAGACAGAGAGAGAGAGAACAAGAGCAAACACAAGTCTCCCTATTGTTTTGTACAACTCCAAACTCCTGGCATTGGTCCAAGTAGCCATGGCAGGTGAATATGTAATAAATCTTCAACCAACACAGAGGGTTAGATGTGTATTCTCAAAACCAATTTTATTTCCTTTTTGAATTGACATTAAAAATTACTTAAAATGACAGCAGAACCAACAAGAACAAGACATTTATTCTCTCTTTAAACAAGCATAAGACCACATAAAGGAGAAAATGTGAAAAAAGATTATGGAAAAATAATTTATGCTCTTATCAAAAGATACATTCATACCATCACAGACACAAAACAGAAAAATATGCACATCTATTGTTTACTGATTTATTTAAAAATTATGTACCAGCAAAACTTTATGAATCAGAAACTATGCTAATGTCAGGGTTTCAAAGATAATATATTCAATGACCTTGAATATATTTGTTTGAGAAGCTCACACATGGCAGGATAAACAGATCTGGATTTCACTACTCATAACAGAGCCTGATTTGTGCTATAGTCAAGGTATGTACAAATCCTGAGGCAACACAGGTAAGACACTTACCAACCCCTGTGCAAAGACTGAGGAATCAGAATATATGCCTAGTTTAAAGTTTATACCTCTTCTTCAGTATATTTACTTATTTAAAAAATACATAGCATTTTCCATGGGCTAGGCATTCTCTCTGTGTTTTACAAATATTGATTCATTGAATCCCTACAACAACCCTATGAAGTAAGTTCTGCTACCATCCCCATTTTATAGATGAGGAAACTAAAACACAAAAAAGTAACTGGCCCAAGATAACACAGCAGTAAATGGTGGAGTTGTAATTCAAACCAGCACCAGAGGCTGCTGTTGACTGTAAAGCTCCCAAAAGCTCTCTCTGGAACCAAAAGAAGGTACAAATGAGAATTTTACTTTTCACAATGGTTACATTCCCAAAATCCACTGTGCAAATCAACTCACATGCCAAATTTCTCAATAAGTTTGTTATATAAATGGAAAGGCAGGGATGAAATCTTCCATAAAACATATAATGCTGCCTAATTTGTCTGTCTCAAGAGTAGATTTTTCATATGTACTTCTGGCTGTATATAGATTCCTTACTTTATTTCACATACTTGCACTTGGTATTTTGTTATACGCTGTGTGGGAATGCCCTACACCTCACTGCTAGAAATAGCCGTGGCTTTCTGGATGTTGGTGCTGGTGAAGAATTGTTTTTCAGTTAACCCAAAATGCTTGTCTTTGAGTGACTCATCTTGAGTGTGGTCTCCAGCCTATGTCTGTCAGTCTCACAGAATAATTAAAACACTTAATATCATTAACCACAGGGAAAAGAACCACATTCACTTTTTTCTTAGTTCATGTGTCATAATAAAGTTAATATATTTTTTAATACTTTTGGACACCTGGGCTATATTTTTCCACTGTGTTTTTCACAAATCAAAGATGCAAATAGATAATGATAAAATATTTAGTCTTTCACATAGTTCTATCTTGTGACCATGAATCTAAGGTTAATCAACCAAAATGTGACTAAACCGTGTATTTAATTCGTATTTGTTTTAAACAAACTCCAGTATCTTGTTTCACTTATGGTTTCCATTCTTTTCATTTGCTGTCCACTGCTCACCCACAGACCCCTCTATTCCAGAGGATGTGGGATCAACATTCATGATCCTCAAGGACTGTACAAATTTATGCCGTTACAGTCCTCAGGCTACGATTGCCTTAATACAGTGTTTTAAACATCAAAGTGTTATTCTAAGAAGAATGTTTAGGAACTGCACACCAAAATATTAAGTTATGCTGAAGACAGCAATGAAGGAAGCTTAAAGGAGAAAATAAATTTTCTCATGCTATCTCATGATAAAGGAACAAAAAGGACACACACACACACACCATACTTTCATTGCTCAATGGAAAAGAAGAGTGAGCTTAGGTGACATGATAGTTCCTTGGGATGGAAAGCTATGAGTAAAGTGAGAGTATTTTTCCAAGTGACACATTTCCAAGCATGAGGAGGAACTCACCTCTGGGCTGACTCACCCAAAGTACTCTGATTATGGCTAGCAAATATTCAGTCACTCTAAGCCTGTGCTCACACTCTGCACCCACGTGAAAAGCTGAGGGAGCAGGGCTAGAAATTTGCATTGGGTTAATTAAGGATATGTGCCCTGCAAATGGGCTTTGTAGTCTGTAACCTGATAAACGTGAGTTTGATATCAGCTCCACCCCATATTAATGACATGACCTTGGAGTGTTACTTGTAGTAGATGCTCTCATGCATCCTTCTCCAGGACTGAAGAATTCACTCTATTCCCCCAGCTTCTGGAAATGCTGCTTGCAGCTCTCCAGCCTTCTTCAGAAATTGCCTCACCGAAAGGGAACATCTTCACCCAAGACCATAACCCCATTCCCAGAGACCTCCATCCAATGATCAGTCAATGCAGGTATATAAAGGCTCAGCTCTTCATCCTCTTCATTGCCCAACAACTTTAGGGCAATCCCAGCTTCAGTGATCTTTGAAGTGTCAGCCAAGGACTTTTTAAGACTTCATCATAGCCCAACTTCTTGCCTACCCAGTCCTGCTCCCTTTCTTCACTGTCTCATCCTTTCCACTGGTGTTGATCCTAAACACTCTCTCAAAAACTTCTGTCTTTGTCTCCGCTTCCCAAGGAATCCAACATGTGACACCACTTAATCTCTAATCTTTAAAATGTGTTAAAATGCAGATTCTAATTCAGCAGGTCTGGGATGGGTCTGAGATTATACATTTCTAACAAGCTTCCAGGTAGTGTCAATGCTGCTGGTCTGCAGAACACATTTTGGGTAGCAAAAATATAAAACATTGAATCAAATAATATATATAAAGCACTTAGCATAGTGCCAAATATGAGCTTGTGTGTATGTAATAAATTTATTTATTTATTGTATATTTATTTATACTCTGTCAAGTAAGTAGAGAAGGTAAAGTGTGCACAGGTAGAGCAGATAAACAGATGAACAATTCATTGAGGAACTGAAATATTTGGAACATTTATTTACAAAACATGCCCTAAAGGAAAAGAAAAATGAAGACCCACATCCTGCCCTAACTCCTGTAGTCCATGTCCCACCCACATGTTAACTCCTTGCCCAAGATATGGGTTGATCCTTCCCTTGCCTCAGAAATCAGTCATTAATCCAATCATTCCACTTCTAACTTTCTCTGGAGTCCATCCCCTCTTCATCGTTACTTCCATTGCCTTAACAGCTAAAGTAATTCTATATCCTAACAGATCTCCTTGATTCCAGCTTTTGAAAGTTCCCTGAAGTTATTTCTTCTAAGCATAAATATAATCATGTCATTCCCCATCTTACAATCCTTTTGCTTTCCTTGCCTATAAAATAGAATTCTTATTTCTTCACATAACATATAAACCCTTTCAGCAGCTGGCTTCTTCCTGTAATCTCAACTTCATCACTATACTCAGCCATTTTGAATTTCCCACTCCTCTTCAGTCATAGTATGCTTTGTCACACTTTCTAAATGCACGTGCTGGTCTCTCTTCCAGGCACAGTTTCTCTTCTTTTGACAAGCAGCATCTTCCAGGCCATTTGCAGTCCTTCCCTTTTCTGTGGCATTCACTACTTGCTTTTTTATTGCACATGTCACAGGGCATTATAATCTTTCTTTTACTTGAAAATTTCCTTCACTACTGAGAACTCCTTATGGATAAAAACTTTGCCTTCATCGTGGCAAGTCTATCCCCATACTTAGCTGTCTTATTCTTGACTGTCCTTCAATATATAACACAGATACTGGTACATAGTAGATCCTTCAAAAAGAGTCATTGAATGAGCAAAACATTAACTCCGATTAGTGGGGTAATCTCCAAAATTAAAATTTAAAACATTTGTTATGCATTTGAAGTTCTAAGGATCAACATGCCAATGTCATTGTTTCAGTGGCAGCTCATTTAGTTGGGAGTTATTTATTTTATTCAGTGCCAACTTCAGGATGGTTGCTGCATTTTTGACTGCTGCATTGAGATATAATTCTCATATGCAGTTCAGTGGTTTTTAAACTACTCACATAGTTGTAGAAGCATCACTACAATCTAATTTTAGAACATTTTCATGACCCCTAAAAGAAACTCTGAACCCAGCAGTAACTCCCATAATCTCATCCACCCAGCTCCTAGCAATCCTACTCAACTTTCTATCTCTATGGATTTGCATATTCTGGACATTTCATATAAATGAAATCATACAATATGTGGTCTTTTGTGACTGGCATCTGCTACTTTGCATGTATTTTCAAGGCTCATCCATTGTATAACATATATCAATGCTTTATTTCTTTTTATTGCCAAGTAATATTTTATTTATATGTATAGACCACATTTGGTTTATGTGTTCATTAATTCATGGACATTTGAGTTGTTACCAATTTTTGGCATTGTGAATAATGCATCTATGACCCTTTGTGTAAGTTTTGTGTGTACATGTGTTTTTATTCTCAGTAGTGTATACTATAATGGAATAAATCTATTTATTGTTGGGTCATTTTGAGAAACTGCCAGACAGTTTTACAAAGTGGCTATACCATTTTACATTTCTACTAGCAATGTTTGAAGTTTACAATTTCTCCATGTTCTTGCCAACACTTGTTATTGTTGTGGTTGCTTTTAAAATAAACCTTACAGTGTTGTGGTTCTTACAACTTTAAAACGTCTTGTGAAATATTTTCAACTAACCCTGAGTTTATGCAATGTTATCAAGTCTATAGGGAAGTTAAAGATGTTGGTATACCTGGATATGTCCAAAAACAGAATAGAAACAGTTGACATGGATATTTCTGGATGTGAAGCCCTTGAGGACCTCTTATTGTCATCCAATATGTTGCAACAATTGCCTGACTCTATAGGTGAGAATATAATATTTTGTCACAAATATTTATGTCCAATATACCATTTTCTTTTTTGGAACTATAGTTTGTCTATAGATATAGGTAATATGCTGTTAGCCTGATGTTGATAAATTTAAAAGTGTACTATGTAAATCATAAAACAGTATCTTACAAATATCTTAAGTGAAATATTTGGGAACTCTAGTTCCCAAATTCAAGAAGCCTCTCCTATTAAAATGATCCTACCAAATTGATACTGTTTAAAAATTTTTATATCTCCTAAGTTGTAAAATGTTATCATAAGGTACATGTATTTTTATTTAGAATAATTTAATAATCACATATGTATCCTTATATTATGATAGAATTACAATAGTTACCATCCACAGGATGTTGCTATGTTCTATTTGTAATATTGTTGTAACATTGCTATAATATAGGAATAACATCTAAAAAGTATAAACATAAAATGTCTTCTTAGTTCTATTATTAAAAAAAAAAGACTCAAGACCATCCTAACAGAGTGAAACCTCCATCTCTACTAAACATACAAAAAAAAATTAGCCAGGCATGGTGGTAAGCACCTGTAATCCCAGCTACTCAGGTGGCTGAGGCAGGAGAATCGCTTGAACCTGGGAGGCAGAGGTTGCAGCGAGCCGAGGTCGCACCTTTGCACTCCAGCCCAGGTAACAGAGTGAGATTCCATCTCAAAAAAAAAAAAAAAAAGTTAACATGTTAAAAATCTTACTATGTTAAAAATTATTAGAGCCTATAATTTACCTGTTAGTATATAAAAAGCACTCATATATTTCTGTTTAAGAATGTTTATATGAGTAAATAGTGAAAGACTCATTTAAATAATGAGTAAGCTTTTTTTGTATAGGTATCTTACTGTTAGTATTTGTAAGAGAATTCAACTAAAAGGGTAATCATTACATTACTTAACTTTGTAACATAGATTTTACCCTCTTTGAAACAGATGTGCTATATGTTCTGGAACTTGATCATTATTAAGATTGACTGAAGTTCAGAATCAGTCTTATATCACCAATGTGGTTCTCTTATCCTTCGTGGATGCAGCAGATCCAGTCCAAGCCAGCTTGTGATTGTCATAGTTTTCCACAGTGAATTCTCTGTTTCCCTTTTCCCTAGCTCCGCATACTAGTTGTAAATTTTTAATCAATAGTAAGTTCCAGAATGTATAACTTTTAAAAAATAAGTCATATCCTAGGTAATCCAGTTGAAGATGAGGCAATTTTCCAAGGTTTCTGTCTCTACTTAGCCATTCTTTGAGGCTTATAAGGAGCATTAGTTATAAGGAGCACAATTTAGCAAAATTGTGGTCCATCTTTTCTTTCTTTCTAGAATTGTTGACTTTTATTTACATAATCACGTATTTTTTATCATGGTACTTCTCCAACTTGCTCTATCATGAGTCTTAACTGAGACTTTTATTAAACACTTCCACATTTCTAGGCTTTGTCTCTTAAAATTCTGATTCGGTAAGTGTGGCAAGCTCCCTGATCTGTATTTTTATTAAATATCATAGATGAAACTTGTGATCAGACAAATTTAGGAAATACTGGTTTATGTTGTAACAAGTAAGGAAGTATGATTATAGAAAACATCCACTGGTCAAGATGACAGAGCAACTTACTACATAACCTTACACCCCTCCTCAACCACCATTCCATATCATTTTAAATACATCATGAGGATATAAAAACTATGTATATTCAAAGAACGTATTTTTCTTCATTACTGACTCAGTGCCAAGAAAGGCAGACTGGATTTCTATACTCAGCTAAACATTCATTCAAGAGTGAGTATACAACAAATATATTTGAACGTATACCAAGAATAAGAGAATCTGCTCTTCAAAAATGTACTTTACTCAGAAAACAAAAACAAACTCAGAAGGAAGAAAGTGAATGCATAAAGCAATGGCAAGCTTTACCAAATTTACCAACTCAATTTGGTAAGTTAAGTAATTTAATTTACCAACTTAATTTGGTAAATTAAGTTGTTATCTCTAAATAATTAGTGCCTGTAAAAGAGGAGTCTTTTATTTTTAGAATGCTGAAATGAAAAACTGAGTAGAGCAATGTTAGATAGGATTAAGGAATGTGAAGGACCTCATCTCGTTCAAGCAGAGGCTAGAAATACTGCATAACTTTAGAATTTGCATGAAATATTAGGTTAAATAGACATGTTAACAATTTAAATGTATCTGCTTGCTAGAAATAAATACTTCCAAACCAGTAGAGGAGGCAAAAAGATATGAAAGAAAATATTCATACAGTAGAAGAAAAAAATGAAATGTAAAAAATGATAGAAATTTTACAATAAATGGTAAAAATAAATTCAAATTGTCATAAATCACAACAAATGTAATAGATTTAATGGATTAAACTTATTCTATTAAAAGATCCAGAATTTCAAGTTCAGCTATGTTGTAGTTATGAGACACATCTAAAGCAAAACACAGAAAGTTTGATTTTACAAAGGCAATAGAGTTCATGACCAGACTAGGCTACATAGCAAGTCCCCAGTTCTACAAAAAATTGAAAAATTAACCAGGCACAATACCACACACTTACAGTCCTAGCTACTCATGAAGCTGATGCATAGGATTGCTTGAGCCCAGGAGTTCAGAGGTTGCAGTGAGCTATGATAGCACCACTGCACTCCAACCTTGATGACAGAATGAGACTTTATCTCAAAAAAATAAAAAAGTGGTAGAAAATGAAGTGCCAAGAATTGTGCCTGGCATATTCTATGTGCTGGCTGAACACTTAATATACAAAATAATTTAGCCATACTAACCAGGCATGGTGGCATGTGCCAATAGTCCCAGTTACTCAAGAGGTTGAGACAAGAGGATTGCTTGAACCCAGGAGTTAGACTCCAGACTAGGCAACATAGCAAGACTCCATCTCTGGAAAAAAAATTTTTAATTTTTAAAAAGAAAAGTTATTTTTGCTTAAGAAGAATGACCATCAACATAAACCTGAGATAGAATGGAAATCCAGCAATATCCTCAGGCCTGATGGGCTACAAACCACAAACAGCAGCTGTAAGTTCAGTTCTTACAGGATGCAGGATGTGCACATGTACCCCAGAGCCCAAAGAACAATAAAATAAAAAAGCAACAATCATATTATGTATAATCCATATATTACATGAAAATACCTGTTAAAAATATTATCCTTGTAAATTATAAAAAAAGCTAAAGAAAAAGAATAAAAGATAAGAATCTTCATAGTATTAATAGAGGGAACGAAAATAAAACCTTTACTTTCTTCATGCCTATTTGAGTTCCTCTGCAGCTGTCGGGTATTTGAATGGAGTGATATACTCAACAACAAGCCTGTGTGCTGAATCACTTTTCCAGTGCTGGTTCCAGGGAAAATGAAGGGGACTCTTTTCCTCTTCCAGATAGAGAGTTTTAATAATCAGCTTTTTTGGATAGCAGAGAAACTCAATAAAGAAAAACACAGCTTTTTGCTTTCCAAAATAATTTATCTTTCTCACTTAGAAGTCAAGGGCACAGGCTTTCTAAATAGATTACTTAAGAGTTCTGATTCTGGCTTTTCCAGTGTGACCTTAGACAAGTTACTTGATCTTGCCCAGTTTCATCATCTATTAAGAGAGAGTAGTAATAGTACTTGCATCATGGGATTATTTTGAGGAATAAATTAATTAATATATTTTAAATTGCTTAGACTAGTACCTGACATATAATAAATAACTATTATAATAATATATTTATTAGAATCTTAGATTTGATGAGTTTACAACTATTTGCTTTCAAAGATCTATTATATATTTGTTAATGTAAATATTAGCAAATTATATTAATGTTTAATTTATTGATGCTGATTGTATATATGTGTATGTAGTTAAAATTGTAGGAAATGGCCTCTTTTTCTATCTCTTCAGTATTTCTTAGTTGGGAGTATAGGATGAAGAGATGGAGCCTTGGAGAAGGGCACAAGTAGAGAGAAGGAATAGGATAAAATACCTTTGATTGCTGTAGAGAAAAGAGTCCAAGCATATATGATAAAGAAATACAATAAAGAAATTATCTGCCAGAGGAAGACATGAGCAACAAGGGTGAGGCTTGTGGCCCAATTTCATCTCGGAGGCAATCGTAATTCTACAGAAGCTTCAGTCTCTGTCCAAAGAGTATCCTCTTGGATGGAATATAAGTGTTGGCAAAGTAACCACATCACAAATGAGTGAGCTTCCTTTAAACTCACAGACTTAGAGCTGAGTAGGAAGGCCTAAATTGCTTCAACCTTTACAAATATTGAAAAAGTTGCACTTAACAGAAGCTTCTTGTAAGAGCCACTACTCTAGTCTTCAGGAAAATCTGTCTCATCAGCATTAAGCCTTAGGCCCCAACCTGCTTCAAGGTTTTCTCTCTATTACTTCAGACTTGGAGACCATGATCCTCTGAAAGTACTTTGTACCCTGACTTTGTGATGTTTGCTCAGCCATCTGTAACCCACCCCCAAACTTCTTGTGACCCAAGTGAGTGATGTTGAGACCATCAACCCACCTCCAGCTCCACTATCAGATGGGTGCACTAGTCTGATCCAGGCTACCAAGTCACAGAAACCTTAGCTATGATTTATACTTTCCTGTTTTCTTTCCACAACTGAGAAACAAGCTCAGGTGTTCTTTTATATTTCCAAGGCTGATATTTTAACATATGCTCTAGAGAAGCTAAAATGATTCAATCATCTTTTGAACATAGATGGATGTGGCAGTGGATGCTCAGACTTCAGTGATAAATTGCTACAGTGTGAATTGTCCCTTTCCCAGGTGATATTTTCAAGTAGATGTATTCAGCTCCCAGATATTTGCTTATAATAGTCTGATAGTGATAACATTTCTCTCCACTGCAGTAGAGATTCTGAGGGCTTCTGAAGAATATGTAACAGAGCATACTGTAACGTAAAGTGCAGTCACAGCTTTATTTCAGATTTTTTTGTGACTTACTCTGTACCTTTAAGGAACCCTCAAAATACTTGAGAAATATGGTCATGATCTATAGCCAGTTTCTCAAAGCATGTTAACAAAATGCTAGTTTGACAACATACTCTGCATCCTCCCCACCCCCCCACACACACACGAATTCCATAATAACTCTGAAGAGTCACATTGGTACATTAAATGCTTCCAGAAAAACTACTAAAGAAAGCTATTTAATTTTGTTTAATTTGGCATGTCTCAAAACATATTTGACCATGATACTATGTCAATTAGAATAATTTGTTTTCAGAATGCAGTAATCTATAGTGTACATTCATAGACCAATGTAAAACAAAATTTGTTAAATGTTAAAGCTTTGCCCTTGGATTTGGTCTATTTAAACCATATCAATACTGCAGGTTATTTTATGGTTGGATAAGGAAGTTGATTATGCCAGATGAAGCTGTTCTTCAATTACTGTGTGGCTATTGCTCATTAAAACCCTGGGAAGAGAGCAAGCCATAAGGGTATGGAGGCCATAAATCAGATAGGGAAAGATAAATAGTTGTAACGTAAATTCTTGGCCAGTTCTAAGATTTTGTCCTTACTGCTGATCCAAGTCAGGATTTATGGTGCCAAAAAGAATATGAGGTCATATGTTGTAAATTTCCAAGAACATAATTATAACCACTGCATTGCAATACCTCGGTATTCATTTTTGTTGATTATTGGGCTTAATTCAGATTTGTTTTCAATTTGTATCACAACAGGATGTTAGTTATTACTGCTTAGGAGTTAATTAAATATTAAATCACAGCTGGCTTGAAAAATTTCAACTGGTCCATTTGCTGAGGAATACAAAAGGGAAATGTAGTATTATTAGTGTCAACTGGGGTGTATGTGAAGGTGTATGTTTTGTTTATTTCTCTGCATTGATATTCTTGAAACGTCATTGATGTAAGAAATTCTTTTGCAACTATAAGGTCAAAATTAGACTACACACAAACGTCAGTTTTATAAGTGTGTATTAGCAGAGTGTAGCCAATTAGCATGCCAAGCATTCATCACAAGTGATTCATTTGATTTCATTTATATCACATTTCCTGTCATAAATCTGCTCTTATGTATTAATCAACCTTCTTCTCTGTTTTAGGACTTTTGAAAAAACTAACTACTCTAAAAGTAGATGACAATCAACTTACGATACTACCCAATACAATCGGAAAGTAAGTGGCCAACTTTTCATACCAGTTAGCCTCTCTACAGCCAGAAACTAAAGGATATGTTGAGTTTTCTACTTCAAAACATTTTCTACTAAAGATACCAATAATCCTGTTCATCTGTCACCTTATTTTACACCATATTTTATTTATATATATTTGTATATATATCTTAATTTAATTTTATATCTAAACATTGCATTGACATCCAACCATATAATATCATAAGAAATATTTACTCATCAATCTTTCACAAGCAAACTGATTACCCAGACCTCCAATTATACTCTTGCTGGTATTTTTCTTTTTTTTTTTTATTCTTATTTTTTTATTGCATTTTAGGTTTTGGGGTACATGTGCAGAGCATGCAATACAGTTGCATAGGTACACACATGGCAGTGTGTTTTGTTTGCTTTCACCCCTTCACCCACATTTGGCGTTTCTCCCCAGGCTATCCCTCCCCACCTCCCCCTCCCACTGGCCCTCCCCTTTTCCCCCCAATAGACCCCAGTGTTTAGTACTCCCCTTTCTGTGTCCATGTGTTCTCATTTTTCATCACCCGCCTATGAGTGAGAATATGCGGTGTTTCATTTTCTGTTCTTGTGTCAGTTTGCTGAGAATGATGTTCTCCAGATTCATCCATGTCCCTACAAATGACATGAACTCATCATTTCTGATTGCTGCATAATATTCCATGGTGTATATGTGCCACATTTTTCCAATCCAGTCTATCATCAATGGGCATTTGGGTTGATTCCAGGTCTTTGCTATTGTAAACAGTGCTGCAATAAACATTCGTGTGCATGTGTCCTTATAGTAGAATGATTTATAGTCCTTTGGGTATATACCCAGTAATGGGATTGCTGGGTCAAATGGAATTTCTATTTCTAAGGCCTTGAGGAATTGCCACACTGTCTTCCACAATGGTTGGACTAATTTACACTCCCACCAACAGTTTTCAGATATTATTATTTGTTGTTTTTGACTGAGTAGCCGTTCTGAATTCACTTGACTATCTCTTGCAAAATCAAACCAATTTTTATAAGGCTCTGCAATATGTATATGTTACCACTACATTATTAGTAACATTTGATATTTATAGAATCTTAATGTATTTTTAGAAGCTAAAGAGAAAAGCATCTGCTTTAGCTAGCATTTTTTAAAACTTCAAGATGAAAGTCTAACATTGCCTTTTAAAGATAAAATATACTCCATTAATTCGATAACAATTTATTTCTAATTTTATATCATCATTAACATTTGATTTACAATTCTTTTAGAACTCTCTATTATTATCAATGTTCCACTGAAGTGCTTTTGTTTATAATCTGTATAAAGTGAGAAATCAATAGAGGCTGTCTTCATTCTGAAATTATGTAAGGGCATTTTATTGAAATCTTGCCCTACATCTTAGCATGAAGAATCATATAAATCCTTAATTTAACAAATTTGGTATACCTAGAAGGGGAAAGCTTTATTTTTTAAATAGTCTTATTAAGTAAATTGATATACAAAAAACTGCACGTTTAAAGTCTATAATTTGATAAGTTTAGACATAGCTAAGAAGCCTTGAAATTATCACCACCTCAATGAAGACAGTGAACATGTCTGTCACCTATCCCTGATCCTTCTCCCCATCATCCCCTCATCACCTGCCAAGTCATCATATAGTCCCCGATCTAGAAAGCTTCACTTCTATATTGTGGAACAAGTTGCTAGGATTTAAGCTCAGATGTTCAAACTTTAAAGAGGAGTAAAAGTGTCAGTCATTTTTTTATACTCGTATGCCCTCACCATACAGTATGTTTCTCTCTATAGTTACTTGCATTTTCTCCAGTATAGAGCACAGAGAACTTAACTTTAGGGATACACAAAAGTAATTATCTTTATCAACCTGATGCTTTTTAAAAAACAGGCACTAAGATAGGCACTAATCTTTCTTCTTTGGATCAATACTCACAGGAAACTGAATTCAACTTCTTTTACCCCTACTAATGTCATGATTGATATTTGCCACTTATGTTCATATTTCTTATAAAACTAATTACCCTGGCTCCAGAAGACAAATTAAAGAGCATCAATAGTCAACAAATAGACAAAGAAAGGTAGCTTTTACAGTAGAAAATGGAACCCTGACTTTGGTCATCTTGAGAACTAGCTTTGCTGGTAATTTTCAGCCAGAATTTTGGCCTCTTGACCTCCCAGGTGAGGAGATCCCAGCTTTTTCTGGAGTCTGGTTTTAGCCCATCACCAACACTGGGTACATGTGTGCTTTGAGCTCCTGTCACACCCCAAAGTGAGTTTCTGCCTCTGACCTTCACCAGCAGCACCTCATGCCAGACTTTGCCTCAGAAGCAGGCAACTTGCAGGTCTAACTCTATCTCCTTCCCAGCAGCCAAGTGGGGCTTGCAGCCTGGCTCTGTACACATAACCTAAACTACATCTTAGTTCTTATGTTACCACCAGCATTTAGTCATGCCCTTTGAAATCTTCCTGGGAGTTGAATTATAAATGGGGAAAATACTGAACTGTTTAAATCATGACTTGGTATAAGCTTTTATAATACTATATTCAAAAGGAACAGATTTAGTAACACCAGTTGGCTATCAGCAGCCTTCAGTCGCTCAGACAACAGGCTCATTCCAGAAAAGCAGGGTGAATGACTGGGAATTAGAGCATCTATGAACACTGAGAAGGCAGAATAGTGAAGTTTCTTGTTGAAAGCTACTCATTCTCATTAAATTTTCAGATGCTACAAAGCCAGAAAAAATACTTATGTTGGATGACAGAAGCAATATTTCAAAAGAGCTGGACAGGGTGGGTGCTTTGTTGAAAAACCCAGTAGAACTTAGTAGAGATTCTTAGGGAGTAGGGAGAAATCAGTGCTTTGATTGGCCATACTCAATATTAGCCGATATAACAATGGAATTGTCCAGAAAACCACTGAAGCATTAGCTTGGTAGACAGAAGCATCCATTCAAAATTAACAGGTACTAATAGTTCAGGTGTTCTCTGACACTTCTGATTCTGTCCGTTCTGGACATCATCTATATGAATTGACAAGAGGGCAACCAGCATGAGAGATGTGGAACTATAATTTATAAAAGAAAGAGTAGACAAAATTTGGTATATATATCTTCCAGAAATTATTTTTTGAAATCATCCATAGTAGGGATGTAACTACTTGAGAAATAGAGTATCCAAAGACCTGAGACCATAGGCCCAGGTCTTCTGTGCAGCTCCTGTTCCATTTCCAGACTTACTGGCACATTGTGCTCTCCTCACTGTAGGCCCTGGGACCCCAGAAGGCTGCTGCCATCCACTCTAGTTCTGGACTCTTTACTCAATAATGGCTTCAGAGTAGGGGAGTAGGGGAATACTTTCAATTCCCACCCTACTTGCCTTTGAGAACACAAATGTATAGGGGTCTTTTCTGTAGGGCTTTCCTACTAATTACTGGAGAAACTTTGCCAGAATATAACAAAAAATTCATGCTACAAAGTTAAGAAATGTTATTATAAAATATATAAACAGCTTATACAGGTCTGATGATAGCGATAGTATGGTGATACCAATAGTGTACCACATATAGGACTGTATTCCCATAAGATTATAATACTGTAATTTTGCTCTCTCTTTTCTATGTTTAGATACACAATTATATACTATTGTGTTATAATTGCTTACAGTATTTAGTGCAATCACATGTTGTATAATTTTGTAGCCTAGAAACAATAGGCTATATCATATAACATAGGTGTGTAATAGATTGCACCATCTAGGTTTGTGTACGTACATCTATAATGGTCACATGATGATGAAATCACCTACCAATATATTTATCAGAATTTATCCTAGTCATTAAGTGACACATAACTGTAATCACATCTACCATTCAATAATCTTACCACTCTTTCTGTTCACTACACTTCAGCCATACTGGCCCTTCTCCTGGCCCTCCAATAAGCAAGGCTTTTCTCTGTCCCACGGCTTTTTCATTTGTTGTTACTTCTACCAAAAATATTCTTTTTCTATTCTTCATAAGGCTGACTACTTCACATCCTCTAGGTCCATACTCTTAAACTTCAGTGAACATTCAGATTATCTGGGAATTTTGTTTAAAAGGCAGAGTCTGATCCAGTAGGTCTGGGACCTGAAGGGCCTGGGTTCTGCCCTTGTCACAAGCGCCTAGGTGATGTAAAAAAAGTGCTACAAGTTCACGGGAAGGCTATCAATCTAGATTTAAATATCTCTTCCCCAGTGAGGCCTTCCTTACATGTCCTTCCACCAATATAATCACCAGCAAATTTCCTGTCCCTGTTCCTGCTGTTTCCTTCATACTTTTCATAACTTATAATTTTTATTTTATGTCATCTCATTCTTTTATTCTGTCTCATAATGTATATACCTCACCTCAATTAAGTCAATTCATGTCTCACAGCCACACTTTTCTCATTACTTCTCATTAAAATGGAAATAATAATAATTGTCAGAGGCTTTTGTGGCACTTAGAACTAGGTAGCCTTCAATAAGTCATTGAAGGCTTCAGTAATTGTTTTATTAACAGTAAAATCAAAAAAGACATTTATTGATTATTGCTTATGTTCATCTATGTGAGGTTTGGTGATATAACATGAATGAAATATCTAGTTCTAAAAAAGAAAAATATTTTATAACTATTTACCAATGTAGTAATAGTACAGTGTCGTAGTCTGCTCAGGCTAACATAACAAAATATCATAGATGGGGTGGCTTAAACAGTAGACATTTATTTCTCACAGTTGTGGAAGCTGGGGAGTCCAAGTTCAAGGCACCAGCAAGGTAGGTTTTATTCTGAGCCCTCTTCTCTTGGCTTTTAGGCAGCCACCATGTTGCTGTGAGTTTACATGACCTTTTCTTTGCATGGGTTGATTGTTGGGGGTGAAAGCAAGCTCTGGTTTCTCTTCTTACAAAGGCATTAATCCCATTATGAGGATTTTATGACTCACTTTTATGACTTTATCCAA